CGGAAACGCAGACGAAATACAGAGGACTCATGACAACAACCAGAAACAGCTGATCACACAGGGATTCCACACGGGGTTAACAAGGGGGCGTGGCACACGGAAGGAGCGGACGATCGGGGCAGGACACATTGTTTTTTTTTTTAACTTTACACATTGTTTGGATACATTTATTTTCTTGCTTTTCAAATTACTGTTTTGATAAATGTGCTTAGATGTGTTTAGTACAGTATATGCTCTTCTTGTTTTATCCAGTTCATTTTGTGTTTAAATGCTAAAAAAAACATATTTAGGTGTAATTTTTTGGGGCTAGGAACCAATTAATTGGTCTTCCATTATTTCTTATGGGGAAAATTTGAGCAGTACTCTTTTAGGATTCGATCCGGAGTTCTGAACGGATGAAGTTCGAGTTCTGAGGTACCACTGTGTGTGTGTGTGTGTGTGTGTGTATGTCTATATATGTATGTATATATATATGTTTATATTTATGTATATACACAAAATACACACACACAGACCTGCAAGTCTTTTGACATTTTTTGGTTTTGATTGCAGTCACAGATTTTTATAAAAATTACAAAATGGTCCCCACAATGTGAAAATAATAGGTTTTTATCACATTGTAGGGACATTTAGTCCCAACAAATAATGTATACCTGAACCAACCGACCGACCCCCCACCCACCCACACAACTCGGCACTTTTGCATAGAAGCATCAAATAAACGCATATAATCAAATCTGCGTCCATCTCTCTCTTTGCAGGTGTGTATATACTTTACATAAATATCTTTGTGCATTTCTATCACATTTGTGGCTGTGTGTATATTTTTAAATGCATCTGAGTGCGCTTGTGCCTTTTGTACATGAGCCCTGTGTTAAGATCCCACCCCCCCCCCCCCATCCTGAGGAGTGTGGGTCAGTGCTGGGCCCCCTCCATCTCCCAGCCCCCCCCCATCCTGAGGAGTGTGGGTCAGTGCTGGGCCGGCCTCCATCTCCCAGCCCCCCCCCCATCCTGAGGAGTGTGGGTCAGTGCTGGGCCCCGTCCATCTCCCAGCCCCCCCCCATCCTGAGGAGTGTGGGTCAGTGCTGGGCCCCCTCCATCTCCCGCAGGGTTTTCGGGTCTCGGGAATCGCCATTCGCCCAGCCTGCAGCCATGCCATCGTGGGGGCCCTATACTGTGGTAGAGATAAGGGGGGGGGGCAGGCTTGCCTTCCGGGCCTTTCTCGTGTGCTCCGCGATTAATGAGGCTGCCTGCTCTCGACGAGAAACGGGACACCCGCCCCTGCTGGGGGTGTCTGTAGCGGGAGGGACGGAAGCAGCCTGGAAACAGCGAGGAACATATTATACCGCGGACGGGGAAAAAGCGAAAACGCCAAGCCGTCTGCTCTGGAGGGGCCATTACAGGATATAATGCTGGAGAGAAGCATTTTAATAACCCAAAATTACCCGGCTTATTACCTCAGAGGTCGCTTCCATGGTAACACTCCCAACTTGGAATAACCCGCATTTTCATTTTCCGGATCAGAATGATGGCAGGTCCGCACCACACGCCCGCCGCCCTCGTGGCGCCCATGTTCTGACCTCTAATCTAGAGCCGGTACAGCAGCCTATAAGAACCAGCCAGCAGATCATCAGGCAGGTTCACCTTCCAGCTGACCCAACAAAACCACTGAGGCATATAAATGAATGTGTAAGATTTGTGAGCTTCACTCTCACAGCTCCGCTGGTTTCTCCTGGACCTGAGCTACGGTGGGCTGGACGCTGACCCTTATCATCATGACTATATGACTGCACAGCCCCCGTCTGACTCCCGCCAGCTGCAGAGTGGTACCACCAAGTTGACCATGGACCATCCCAGCAGGACGCGAGTCCCCGAATCACAGCTGAAACCCCAACAGGGCCCTGGGGGCTGCATGTTTCTTCAAATAAAGAGTAATTTAATTAATAAATCTGACTAAAAGTGAACGAGATAACGGCATCCTCGGCATATCTCTGGGCTACATCTACTGACTCCTCCACGCTAAAGGCGTGCAGCGACAGCCACAGGTGACAGGTATCAGGGGAGTCCGGGACAGCCCCCACCAGGCAAGGACCAGTAACGAGACGTCCGTCCCAGCCGGATCCCACCTACGCAGACCTCTCGGGAACCTAACGACGTATGCCCTAGCTCACAGCGCAGTCATCCGTCTCCTCACCTGCGGCAGTATTAAGGTTCCCTGCCACCCTAAACATTATGAGAAGACAGATGAATGAAATTTAGAGAGAAAACAAACTGACGTTGGCTAAGTGTTCATTAGTCAGAAATAAGTTCAAACGGGAGACTGTGCTCTTCTGCATATCCGCAGAGATTCGATCTCCAAGGAAACAAAATACATACATAAGAAAAGCCATTAAGCTACGAACAATGCCGGTCAAACCTGGGGGCGCCAAAGGCAGCCGCCTAGGACGGCAACTAATGAGGGGGCTCCGACTCGCCACCCAATCTCAATTTGCCTCAGGCGGGGGGGGGGGGGGGCAGCACTGATGCTCGCCTGGGGTGCACATGGGCTAGGGCCGGTATTGGCCACGAATCCTTGCGAGACTTCCCTTTTTGCAGTACTCTGCATATATACATGTGTACATACAGCGTACATGTACATCCTGTAAAGAGGACGGGCTGCATTACCACATCATGCATCTAATAAAGGCCGTGAATAATGGAGAGGTTCATAATTATAGCCAGAAGCACAAAGATTATCAGCAGTCTGTCATCTGCTGTAACCTAGAACAGGTTTTTTGTTTATCATTGCAAAAAAAATAAAAATAATTACCAGTCTCAATGGGTAATATTACCTTTTTAGGGGAAATAAATTCAGAAAAATTTTAAATCAGAATGCATACAAAGAATAATTCCATATCGGAGATGGGAGCAGAAAAGAGCGTAAATGTCATTTCAGGAGACTGACCCAAGGATCCCAGATGATAAATTTATAACAGTAACTATTAAAAAAAAAAAAAACCTGCCTATGATTAGCAGGATAATAAACTATTCTGAAATTTATCCAGTGTCATATTGCATGTAGAATTCTGATTTTTAAATAGTAATAAAGGGGAAAGATTTGTTAATGTGATGTGAAAATGGTGAGAAACTAGGTCTGTTTAGCTTCTTGCTGAATGAACTGAATGATGCAAGAAACTGCCGAGATTGGCGTAACTCGGGGCAACAGTCTCAGGTGCACTGCACTTCAGCTCAGAAATACTTCACTCTACATTAAAAGATATATATATACACCACAATGTTTCTTATGAGGTGCATAACGTGACTGTACTGCAAGCTGCGAGGTTCAACCTGCATGACTAAAACCTCCAGACGGCCCAGAAAGCAAACACAGTAAGGATCATAATGATAATTAAAATCACACTAACTAGAAAATTCTTTCAAGAATGGCAGCTTATGCAAATAATGACAATATGCATAAATTAAAAGCAAATTTAATATATTAATGTATTAGTTTAAAACTGCATTCCATTCCCATGTCAAGAATGGGAATGTGAAAATTAAAATTACGAATAAATTTGAATATCACTTAGAGATCACACAAACGAACACCAATAAGAGCACAACGTATTTCATTTTTTTTTTTTTTTTTAATTATGTCGCAAACAATGACATCCAGATATATTGTTAACAATCTGCTGTATGTGACCAAGTGACACCATAAAAGCAAAAATCCGAAGCCCTCAATCTATTCACAAGTGCAGGTGAATGAGACGGATGGACTAGTGGCTGGATGAATGACCTGGGGACAGGAGACAGGCCAAGGTGCATCCGTCCATCCGTCTGACCGCGTTGAAACAGCCTGTCCTCCGGCAAGGCTAACGCAGGGATTGCTTGGGACCAGCCAATAACAAGAGCGATTCTCTCCAGACTTGTAACAGCGCTTCAAGTGTTCCGCAAGAAATGCGATGGGAGAAGACAAGGAGGGGAATAAAACTGCGTTCTCCCAAGCATTCTCTCCCTCTTATGTCCGTACAGGCAATTGAGTATAGTCCCATTTTTTCCCATCCCAACCCTGACGCAGTTGCATTTCTGAAATTTCCCCCACAGAAACCAGGGTTGGGGGATAAGAGACGGCGTACTCCGCCGAGCGACAAAGCGGACATCACTGCTTAGGACGATGACGAGAAAACTTGAGGCAATACAGTGGAACCATTTCCTATATTAGTCCATTTTTGGCTTAATTCCGTAATTTACAGAGGATTTTAACATCAAGACATAAAACCATTTGGTTTCATTTTTTTTTCGTCCTAGAAAACTGAGGGCACCCGGCCGGTTGGTGCAGATCCCAGAAAAAAAATGGATCCAAATCCGGTCGCATTCGTTCAGAGGGACTGAGAACAAGGAAACAATCTGGGCAAGAATTAAGTGCAGGTCTGACCGACACCATGTGGAGCGGCCACTGGCTACATACGGGGACCGGTGTCTGCTGGGGGGGGGTGGGAGTGGGGGGTAGCCCAATGAAGCATCCGGTCTGCCACAATCCCAACGGCAAAGGAAGCGGAGGAGTAAGTTCTCAAAGGACGCATGTCCTCCACTGCACAGCAACACAAATCGATCTCTACCACCATGCTGAGCTGTCTGCAGTTTGCATGCCGGCCGGCCAATCAGGGAGGGCGCCTGGGCGAGGGGCCATTTTCGGTCGTCCCTTAAGACTAGAAGCGCACACCAAGACGACACACGTCAATACAAGCCGTTAAATATTTTGCAGCAGAAGAACGGTGTGCAATAAATTGTAGATGGCAGACGAATGAGGGAGGCTCTGCCCATCAGACAATGAGCCCGCCCCTTATGTTTGGCCCCGCCCATTACACCTTCACCCGAAAGCTCAAGGCCCAGGATTGGATCACGCAGCGGTACAAAACGTTGACAATTACAGTTCTCATACTAGCCACCATCGGATTCTTAGTAGCAGGTACATTCAGTACAAACCACAGGAAAAAGTCAGCAAAAGCGTAAGGTAATAGGTTGGTTAAGCAGTGGAATTCTTTATTATATAATTGCATTTTAATGAAAAGGCTAATTAAAATGGCATCGGCATTTGCGCTTCATTTTCGATTGCTTAAATCCTCGGCCAGGCACGACCAAAGATTTAACAAGAGCAGGGATGTGCAAGTTGATTGGAATCTTTTCCTCTGTCAATTCAGTTGACAGGGAATTTTAGAGCAGTGAATATGCCAGTAACAACAGTTTATTTAAACCAATCTTTCTAATCTTCAATAGTCAAACTAGATCAGCTCAATACAGGAGTTACGGACCCATTTGTGTACACCGGGGGAGTGACCTCGCCTCTGCCCACCTGAGTAAGCCCTCCCCCCAGCAGGCATGGCTGCTCCGGGCCACAAGCCCCGGCTAAGACTGTCTGAAATCACCTACTCCATTTTGGTGCTAAATCCATTTTAAAAACCTGTTGGTCAAGATTTGCCCCTTATCATTAAGGATAAGTGCCGTGTATGTATATATTTTTCTTAAATATTTTTTTTTTTTTTTTACAAAACCACTTTTTCTCCAATGTGATTTTACCCTTTTTCCATATTCTTCCAGCACAGATCTTTGCACATCCCCTTACATAGGCAACCGTTGTGGGTGCACACTTTGGACGCTTGTCATGATACACATTTGTGGCCGAGTCCAACAGCACATGTGACAATAGCTAGCCAATCACGACATGGCTACTCCTGCCTCTGTCTAGGGCCAAGCTGCCAGACGGCGCTGAACCAAAAGGGCACCTGATCTCTGCGAATCAAACCAGCACAGAGGAGATTAATCACAGAGGAAAAAGCAAGACATTCAACAGAATAAGGAAAAAAAAAAAAGTGCTGTAGGTTCCAAATTGCCCAGTGCTTGTGAGGGACTGAGTGTCAGCAAATACAGCATGTAGATGCACCTCTCTGAATTTAGTGAATTTCATTAAAGCAACTTTGAAGCTTACTGGAAGACAGCGATTTCGCCCAAACGTTGCCTGATCTAGCAGCTAGCTAATGGAGCCACTGGAGATTACAGTTGGTCTAATTCTTGGAAACCAGGAGTGTATTATCCCAGCCTGACTTGGCATGACAAGAGCCCAAATGTGTGTTCCCCGCGGTTTCATGACAGCAGTTCTGAAACACGTTCTCAGTGGCGCCCATTAATACATCGTCACAAGAGAATGGTCAGCACACTTCAGAAGTGATGTCATACACAGAGGATTCCAACAGCGAGCCTCACAGACATTCAAATCTGCACCAAGGGATTAAAGTTCTTGCTTTGAATTCCTCCTCGAAAAGGTCACCAAGCGAGGCACTAACAGATGACGACAGCGGGAGGGGAAAAAAATAAGAAAAACCTAAATTAAAAAAAGACAAAATAAATCTGACGAGAAGGACACCGTCATTAAATTATGGATTTAGTGGCCCTACTTGTCACCCAGATGACACCAACCTTCAGTTGGTCAGGCTAGCTGAAGCTCCAGCCTGTGTTAAACCTGTGGTACTTCTAAACAATGTTATGGAAATTTACAGTATACAATTTTGGATTCACCATGCAATACTTTTTTGTGTAACATTTAATAGCTCAATCTACATCCAGAATAATTTACATAAAAGGACAATAGTTATTTAAACAGAGCTCGATGGATTGTAACCATGGTAACTGAGTGCATCCAGAGGAAATTGCGGAAGGGGCGGAGCGTGGAGGTCCTGCAGGTGAGATCATCAGCGACACTCCCACACTTTTACTGTTTGATCTACGCTCCCTGTCACCACATAGGGAGCAGTCTTGTGGAAATCTGAGGGAGAGAGAAGACAAAAAATTAGACTGAACTGGCACAGATAAACCCACCTCCTGCTGAAGTTGAAATCGGCTTTTTATAAACAACTTGAAAGTGCCTTACAGAACACATGTTGCTCTTAGCCTCCATTTACTGTGACTAGGGGCGGGGGGGGGGGGTCACTACACATTAAAAAACACACAGCAGTAAAGAGCTTCGGATTGACAGAGCAATGGCCCTCGAGAGATCCTTTGCCTTGATCCTGAAAAAAGCCCCACATCCAGCGCATGCTGGAATCTGGGAAGGCCCAGAATACCCCCCAAGCAAGTGCGAGCAGCCACGGGACACAGCATGAACTGGGCGAACCTCAGTGTTGCCAGAAAATGGCTCACAGCACCAGTGTTCCTCCAGAGAGCACTGGGCCAGACTGAGCCAGAGGGGGCGCCAGTCTGCTCTGACACACACACACACACACACAGTTCAGCACCGGCCCTCCGTCCCACGCTCACCCAGAGAGGTAACGAAGTGCTCGTGGGCAGACAGGGTCTTCATGCAGCGCTTGTTCTTGAAGTCCCAGATGCGCAAGGTCTTGTCGTCGGCACAGCTCACGATAAACTTCCCGCCGGGATGGAACATCATGCCGCGCACCCAGTTATCATGGCCGACCTGAGGGGCAGGGGGCAGCCGGGTCACACGCAGAATGGCCACTCAGGCAGATGCCCCAACCCCCTCGCCCAGGCTGACCACTTACCAGCGTCATAAGGCACATGCCAATGCTGACGTCCCACATCTTGATGGTTTTGTCCCTGGAGCCTGATAGCAGGAAGGGGCCGGGCTTCCCGCTCTTCTTAATCTAGGGGGAGGGATAGAAGTGACGTGAGAGCATGTGGGAAGGTGCCCGCCCCAACTGTGCCACCCCTAGTAAATAAGGCCTGATGGGGCATCACATCCCAGAAAGGGATTTGATCCACAGCAGCAGCCTGGCATCTTCCCTTCTAGTGTTTGTGTTTACACATTTCAGAGAGAGTGAGAAATGGGGAATCTCCCACACACACACACACACACACATACACACACACATGCAGAGGCTTATTCACCTGATGAAGGGGCTGTTAGATACACATTTCGATAAAGGCTCCACTCATCACACTGCTGTCATGTCTGAAACTCAGACTTCAAACAGACAGCTGCAAACCCAAAAGGGCTCCATACAAACGACCGGCTTGAAAGGGTCTCTTACAAGGATGATTAACAGCCATCTAATCTCAATCAGCTGGATGGGTAAATGGCACTCGGCTGCATTCGAGCCATTTCATCTCGGCTTGAAAGACAGCCCTTTATGGTTTGGCTTGCCATCTACGGCGAGGTCAACACACTCCTCCAATGTAATGTGCAAGATAACCTTATTTCTTCAATAAATCTGCCGCTATAAAGGGGAATCCCACAACGAATGATCAAAAGCTAGGAACCAAACTCGATAAACTGTAAGTGAACGTCTACAGGATGCAGCCAATCCTCTACAGCGAGAGTTTGTACACATACTCATCACTGACTGCCTCCACCCTAACCGAGCCATACGAGCGGCCTGTGTTACGCACAATTATCTACTGGGTGCCATACTGTGCCCACCACCAAGGGCAGAGCGAATGCCCAAACATCATCTATTATGGATCCATGCATTTTTATGTGGAATCACACAAAGACACATCCACCCTCCACAACGCGTGGCATGACGGTGTGTGTCATATGTCATATGTTACACCAAGAAGCCACAGTCTCAGCGGAGAAACGCTGTCCTGGTTCACACCTGATATCAGCACATGGGGGAAACTACTAGTCGGAAGAGTGTTTCACAGAGCTGTGTACTTACACATGCTGGCCCTGAAGGGGGACCATCAGCCAGTATGGCTGTCATAAGCACTGGTATGCTGATGGCACACAGCAGCATACATCTGTCAAGAGTGAGTGAGATATTTCACACAGGTTACAAGCTTGTGAAGTTAAAAGGACACCAGGGACAGGATGAGACGACACCCTCCTGCTGCCGCAGGCACCTCAGTCTCACCAAAGTCACAACAAAGACTGAACAGTCAACGAACAACCAACTTCTCAGGCACTCCTGGCCTAGTAAAGTGCTCATCACCAGCACACAATCTTTTGTCTATAATTTACATACATACATAGAATTTATAATCTGATAGATGACCTCCTGAAAGAATTAACAGACCAACTAGCCAAACATCAAGATGGAGGAAATGACTCTAAACATCTAAACAGAGCCCATAAAAGCAGCAAACCAGTGACTGTCACCTTGACAAAAAGGGCATTTTGGTCACTAACAGGTGACGCGGTTCCAAGCTGGGCCGCGAGCCACTCGCTGGGAAGAACACTGAGCTCCGTTTGATTAGATTAATGTTCTGCTCTGACTGACTGGAAAAGGCTGCTTCTCAGCACTGCCTGAGAACTAAATAACCGATGACACCTAATAAGCCCTGTTTATGAATTAATGTTATGGGTATTTTTTAAAAAAAAGGGCAGAGGGCCACGCATTTGACATGCTGGCTGTAGATACAGCCATCAACACCTCACCATCCAGAAAAAGCAGCAGACATTCAACTACTCAACCATACAAGCATGATTTTAGCTGAGCGCTAAATCGGCTAAGAGACGAGGGTCACGGCGCCCCGCATTCGATCCAGGCGAAAAAGCACCATCTCTGACCTCTGACCCCGTGGCATCCAAGATGGTGGGGTGAGCACTCTCGGGGGCCCAGGAGATGCACTCCACCACGTGCTCGTGCTCCCGCAGCTCCGCCTTGCACTCCTTGGTGGCGGTGACCCACACGCGCACCGTCTGATCATTGGAGCTGCTGGCGATCAGCGAGCCGTCTTGGTTGGGCCGCACCATGCGCACCCACTCTCTGTGGCCCGCGAAGGTCTTCACGCAGTACCTGGAGTGGGGGGGAGATGCTCTTCAGGGATTCCACTGGACAACAGGTCAAAGCAAATGGGCTTAAAAATAAACCCCTAAAATCTCCCTCCCTCCATGTTACTCTATTCATAAAACAGGGTACCGCCACTAATCCCCAGGACAAAGCTCTGAAGGAGAGGCTTGTTTACTCTCTCTAGAGGCCGGAGTTCACTGGGAACCGGAGCAGAAAATAAGCGGTAAGACCCCAGGGATCGAGGTGGGGAGGCTGGGGAACAACGAGCACACTGCTGGGTAAGGCTGGATGTGGCGACGCACTGCTGCTCACACGGCACCGACACACAGCCAGGCGGCCGGAGGGCTGCCCTGCTTACCCAGTCGCAACCTCCCACATCTTAATGGTTTTGTCCCTTGAAGCAGACACTATGTGGTCCCCATTAGGCATGATGGCTACTGAAGAAACATTGTGGTCGTGTCCTAAAAAACAGAAGCACAAAGGGATAAATATACAAACAGAACACTGCAGACCATGTGATCTCCCTGTGGCAAAGAAATATTACAACAGAAAACTTATTTACAAACCAGGATCTGCAATGAAGGAGAACATATGAATCGTCACTAAATTATTGCGCTGACAGGTGGCGGAATGTGACAAGGATGGAAAACGACCCATCACCGGGAGGGGAAGGGAACAGAACGCCAGATTGGAACAGAGGTTCTAAGATCACGGGCCTTTTAACTAGAGAGCCACTTGATGAATGATTAAGACCACAAAAGTGATTTAAATAAATTAGGCAATTAAATAAATAGAACCCCCCTATTTGTCATGGACCTCTTTGTTCTAAGAGGGAAAAAAAGCTAATTACACAGGCTGCCATTTTTAAGCGGCTGAAGGTCTGATGGAACGGTAAACAGGCGGTAAAAAGCAGGCTTTCAGATGAGCTGAGGCCCACAGAATGTTATCGCGTCTCAGGGAGGGATGATTAAACCGCCATCCAAATCTCATAATCCCCTGCCAAAGCAGCCAATCTGCGCAGGGAGCGAGCGGCGATTCCAGGAGGACTACGGTGCGCAGGCCAGACTCTCTGGGAAGAGGGGAACACACGGAAGGCGCAAAATAATCCCCCATGCTAATTTTTCCGGTCTTCACGACCCCCGCTGCTCAGCGAATAAACACCATTTTACTCAATGGGGCATAACAAATGTCAGAATGGATAAAAAAAAAAAAAAAAATATTAACAATCCAGATTTGCTGCATTAATGCTTCTACAATAGTTTGTTTCTAACTAACAGAAGTGTTTGCCACAGCAATGGCTGCTTCATTGATAGGCAGTCCCCCATGCCTCTCACCGCCTGTTAACAGCCCGACATAAACGCAGGCCGGCACAGCCTCACGGCCCAGACAGCTCAAACGTAAACCCCTTCCTGTGACACTGCTGCATCCTCGCAGCCACGAGCAACATTATTAGATATGCTGCGGCAATTCGCGAAGCAATTAGAATTTTACGGAGCCACTGGCGGCAGCTCGATAGGCTTCACACGGGAGCACACAGACATCTCCCAAATAACCACAGGCTCACAATCTTCCTCAGAGCCAACGTGAATGATAAAGCCAGCTAATAATTTCTCTTCTAATAGAACAGATTCCAGCAGCCTGGGGCGAGGGGAGGGGCCAGCCTGCAGAAGCAGTCCCCAAACGACCAAGCTCACGTGTCACATGGAGAGACCAAACGCGCTCGCCGTGAATCGGGAAGCAGACTGTCAGCTCTCCTTGGATTTGCGCCATGCCTAACGTGTTAATGAGCAGCATCTGCAGCACCTGCTACCTCGTACACCTTGAGTACTGCACCCCGCCCCCATGACAACACCCATATCGGTAGGCCCCGCCCCCTCACCATGCATGGTCCGGATGCACTCGAAGCCCTGAAAGTCCCAGAGCTTGATGGTCATGTCGGCAGAGCAGGACGCCAGTAGCTTGCCGGTCTGGTCGAAGGAGATGTCCTGCACGGAGTCCGTGTGGCCCTTCAGTGTCCGCTCAAAGTCCCCCGTCTCATAGTCCCACACCTGACGGGGAGGGAGGAGCAGGACAGCCCAGCGTTCAGTCTCCAGCCCGCATCTGTCCCCCCCCCCCCCCCCAGGGCCAGTCTGCTGTTGTCATGGACAGCTTGCGGAAGGCAGGTTCAGACTAGCAGACAAGGCAGATGGGCATGAAGCGGAAGCCTCTCTGTGCAAATGTTACCATGGTAAAATAGATCAGGGCGGCCCCGAACGTGCATCAGACACCTGTCAGACTGTTAAAGGAGCTCTGAAACACAACACCCCACAGGAGAAACCCAGAAGTGGGTCATTTCCCATAGTACATTGAGCCTGGAAATAACGTTATTATGAAGCTGATGATGTGACGGATACTGGAATAAAACGCTGCTCACAGCACAGGCCCGGAGAAGGGCGGCAAACAGCCAGCCTATTTTGACAAAAAAAAAAAAAAAAAAAAAAGATTATTCATTTCCAGGCAGGTCGGTGAGACTCCGGAGCACCAGCACAGAGAATCCAGAGAGAGACCGCAACCGCCTGGTGAAGAACCACCCTGCAATGTGCCGAGGACGACATCTGCTGATCAGGACAAAGGCAAGGTGGACTGTTCAAGGTGACCGGGAAGGGAGGGCAGCTCAGTCTGGCCTGTCAGCAGCAGAGAGGGGTGCATTGCAAGGAATATCACTGTCAGATGCACGCAGGTTCGCGTTAACCACCAAGGTGCATATTCACGCACACACAGGCCCCAGCCAAGCACCTGCGGTCCGGCCCAACAGGAGTGCCGGGAACGCAAACAAGACTGGCGGCGCCGGAAAGTGGGACACCGAGGAGGGGCTTTAACCCACCCCTCCCCCGTCTGCCCCGGGTTGGCTACTTTGGCTGCTGGCACTCGAGCGGAAGATGGATTCGCGGCAAAGCCGGTGGGTCCTCCAGCGGGACCAGAGCCAAAAGCAGGCTGGAAGCAAAACGCCGCCCCCCACCCCTCTTTTTTTGCTTCTATGAATAAATCATCCAGGAAAATATTTATTCCAAACTGGGACGCCTCTTTGCCAGTGCGGAGCTGCCTATAAAAATAGGCAAAAACAAGGAGGGGCGGAGCAGGTAGATGAAGGAGTCGGGAGTATGTTTTGATCGATTGTGGCGGAGCGTGTCCCTGCGGTGCAAGAGACGGGGGCAGATGAAATATCCAGAGAGCGAAGGGGAGTCAGGCCCCAGATGGAGAATGGTCCCTGTTCCCAGTTAAAGGCCACCCCAGCGTCAAGATCAGGCACGTGAACTCACCTTTATTGTGGCATCCTCCGAGGCAGAGACCATGACGCTGAAGACGGGGTGGAAGATGACGCGGGTCACAGGACTTCTGTGACCACTCAGGGCGTACTTCTCAGGGGGCCGCGGGATCCATTCTTTGGGGTCTCTCTTCTGGCCGATAGGACCGCCTAAGGTGATTTCCTCCTTGGCTTCATTTAGCTTAGATTCCAGTTCCATCACCTGTGTGACAGATGGCAGGGATCACAAAAAAGGTGACATCCGCAGACATACATATATACCACTGGCTGATATTAACGAAAGCGTACATTATGAGGCGTAATCAGTGCTAATTTGTCTCCTGCTATTAATTATAGGAGAACCAACGCATTGTTAATACCACTTTGACCACTGCTAATCATTTCATGCTATGCTCCTGCAGCTGTGACAGCCCTGCAGGGGGCAGAGCTGAGCAGAACACGTTCATAAAACGGAATGTGTTTTTACCATCCACCAGGGAGGTAATGACACTGACGCAACACGACTTTGGTCAGGTCTAACCACTGACGCCAAATGATGGCCACACACTGTAGGGACAGAATGTACAAACCTTCTTTTGCAATCTGATGACTGAAGTCCATTTCTTTTCCAAAAGGCCGGCATATTTCTTATCCAGTTCTTCATTCTGCCAGAGCCAGAAAGATGAATATGAACGATGAAAACTCAAAGCTGTCATTTTAAACCGCAGAATTCCCTCACTCCTGCAAAAACAAAGGGAAAATGTCCTGAATCCTTCCGATAAGTTAGTTTGGGAAATCCAGCCTCCAGCAAGATAGCAGGCCATACACAGGACAGCAGGGGAGCAGCCATAACTCAGGGTTTAATCCCTTCACATGGGTTAATATCCTGCATTCAAGGAGAGCTTACAATGATTACAATTATAGGAACAGTAGACTAAGAAAAAAATATAACCATCAGGGTGTCTGACACTCACTCTAGGACAGCAGTGGTTTGGTAGTGCGCACGCACGCGCGCACGCACGCACGCACGCACGTGTAAAATTGCCATGCTAAGGTGAACCCTGGAATAGCCTCACACAGTTCATGACCACGGTTCAAAGCAGGTGTTTCAGTAAAAGTCAGTAAAAGTGAAGCACTTGCGCAGTAGGGGACACCGTAAATGCTTGATTGTTTAAACAGAAACACAGCTATTTGATTTAATACAGAACAATTAGCATCCACTAGAGTCAGTTTCCGAGGGAACGGGTCAGGCTCCAGCAGACAGAGCCGCGCTGCCCCCCATGGGTCAATTCGGGCTACAGCGGTGGGGCACCTACAGCTGTGTATAGCACCTGTGCTCAGCCTTTAATGTGCTAATTAGCGGCAGCCACACGCTGCCTCACCCATCAGGTCCACCCTCCCAAACCAGGCTGTTGTGCTCATTTATTTATTTATGTGACTGAGGAAACATGAGCGAGGCTGACATGCAGGCCACAGCCAGACATCTTCAGCTCACAAGGCCACAGGCGGGGGGGGGGGGGGTTAGACGTCACATCACACAGCTAGCTGACCCAGTAGCTGAAAGCAAAAGCTGAGGGAACTCCAAGCAGCCACATGGAAGACAGATCACATCACAAAGCGGCGGTGCGGCTGGGGGTGGGGGGGGGCTGTTGAGGAGGGACGACAGAGGCCGCATCCTTCTGCCATCTGCTAGGCTATGCTGCTAACATGTGCCACGCATAGGCACTACCAGCCTCTAACCAACATGGCGTGACTGGCCATCACCCCAGTGATGCTCCGCTCCTGCCATCAGGCCTTCAGAACCACCTACGGCAGGCCGAGCATCCCGGCTGGAAATGCAGACTTCGCAAAGACGCACATTTAGCGTGTAGAGAGATACTAACGTGGCGGAAATCCATTTGAGCAAATGCATGAAGAACAATTTAAAAATAACGTGGAAGGCTCGCATAGAAGCGCACCTTCGCATGACGCCCGCCTGCTCCATCTATTATTCAGTGTGTTTCCACCAGGGAGGAAACCAATGCCTGAAACATGCCTGCAGACAAAGAGAAGCAGCAAGGAAACAGGGAGAAGTGCAGCCAGGCCTGCTACTTAAAGGGGGCCCTTTGTCTGAGGCCAGCTCCCTCCGCAGGAGCGGAGCAGCACGCCTCCATTCAGCTTCGCCTCTCAGATCTGTCACAACAAAGCTCGCGGCCACACTGTCGCCCGTGTCGTCGGAATTAGCGCTCTTCATCAACACCACCAAGGGCACATTCATCCTGTCACGTTCACGCCGTCCGCGTCAATCAACGAGGAACGTCCAATTAGAGTGCATTGTGTGAAGCTGTCTGAGGCGGCCCAGACTTACCATGTCTAACTCGGCCTCCTTCTTGAACACCGAATACGCTTCCTCATATCCATTGGAACGAAGATAATCGGCTATCGCTCGATTTCTGGAAAACAAAAGAGTTAAATTAGTCCCCTTGATACACTCTTTGGGCTGTCTAGTAACGTAAAAGCCATTAGTCAGGAATTAACCCACTATATGAATGGAGAACAAAACCAAACTCAAGGACAAAGAAGGATGTGACACATTCAGGCATAGGAACAAGTTTGCAGAATAACATGAAGCTGCACTGCATTTTGGCAATCGTCAAGCTCCCAATTCTGTCGAGCCACTATCATGACATTTTTACCGAAAAAGAAAAGCATAACCTGAAGGCAGGATAAACAGGAAACCCAAAAAATCATTAAAAAATGAAACTGAAAATCCAAAGATAGAGAGTCTGGAAGTAGGTGGTCTACTGTTTGGAGGAAGTAGGAGGGTAGTCTAGAAGTAGAAGGTCTGTGTTGAATACACGCAAGGAAGGAAAAGCACAAAGTGTGTAGAAGGAAACAGCCCCATGTCATCCTGGGAATGTGACCAGAGAAGACCTGCAGGACCAATCATTCTTTACTACAGCCTCTTAAGGAGGAAACGGCACATTACAATGCCACACACACACGATTGCCCTCTGCGTCTTCCTGCCAATCTGTCACTTGCAGTGATCATTAGGGTACTATTTCAGAAGCAACTGACTCATTTATTTAGGTTTTTTTTTTTGTTTGTTTGTTTGTTTAGCTAACTAGACTTCAAGGTTGGGGGTGTGTGATTTCCTACCTCCCAGTTGTGCTACTAGCAAAGGCTGCCCACACAGCCACCCAAAAACACCAAGCAGGCCCTCTTGACCACTTGCCCGCAAACCAACACCATAGCGCCACACTGACAAAGAAAGTGAACTGAATCTGATTATGGCCAAGGTTAGATGAAGGTCATCGCCCATGTGACACACTGAACACTGTGGGAAGGCCCCCCTCCAATCGGAGGGCTATTTTGAAGCACAATGCTTATCTATGAACCTGAACCAAGTAAACAGGACAGAACACAGATTTGGAGAAGGAACAAACATAAAAGGCAAACACGAGAGAGCAAAACAGAAGAAGCACTGCTTCCTACAGGGAGATAACACCACATGAGGAGCTTAAGGACACAGGCAGACTGAACTTTAAAAAAATCCATGTATCAGAACATCCAATGTGGCTTGATTCTCTCTTCACCCTTCTGGCACAAATTGAAGGATGAGAGGAAGATTCACATTTCACAGTATCTAAAGTCTATTGTAAGTCCTAATGGAGCCATTTAGTTTCAGGGCCTTTTAGTGAGGCCATCCTGGACATCAGGGGATCTCGGCACAGGGTTGGAGACCCACCCCCCAGCGCTGCTGGCTGCACTCCACATGCAAACAAAGCTGTGGAGCTGGGCAGGCCGAGACACCCCCCCCCCCATCTGCTCCCACACTCAGACTCCAACTGCGTTACCAGGTTGCCAGATACTGAGACAGATTACCACCATGTGAAAGGGAGGTCCGAGTGCTGGGGGAAGGCAACCGAAAGCACATCAAGCCCTGTGTTGTCGTCTGCCAAAAAGGCGAAAACCCTGAATCACTGCAGTTAAAAAACCTGGCTCAGGTATCGCAGCTGGATGGGGAGACACAGCATACAGCAGAATAAAGAGAAAAAAATTAAATAACCCACAGATACATTGTGCATGTGTGGCTATATTTCTGGTTTCCATGGAGACCAACACACAGCTAGCCCAGGGAAGAGGGTGGGGGGAAAAAAAAACCTGAACAAACGAGTGGGCAGACATTACAAGGAGCAAGGTGTAGTCAGGATGGAGGTGTACCAAGAAAGATACGGACAAAGCCTTCAGACGCTCACAACCAGCCGCCATCATAGTTATCATCAACAGCCTTTCAATCAAGAGGCAGCCATCAATCAAAATGCAAGTACCCCTAAGCATTAGATTAACCCCCAATCAAGGGGCACTCCAGATAAGTCACCCTCTCTATCATTCCATATATTCTACAAAGCAATTAGTATGTTATCAACAGTACTGAGTGAGGTACTTCACCCTGAACCCTAATACAGCTTTAGCTATTCAGAATAACCCAAAAGGAGGTATGATATTTATATCTCAACTACTTATGCACTCCTGTAGTCTAGAACCACACACATCTTATTTTTGGTATGTTATTATGGAATTCAGTATGAAAATGACAGTTCAATTATTTAATATTAAATCAGTGAAATAGACAGACACCTGCAGCCGACCCTCCCTGACTCACTCGCACAGCTCACGGTCAAGCTGAAGGCTAGAGGACCTGGGCACAGGAGTGAGAGCAGATCAGACTGCGGCCACGTGGCCTTTCCAGGCCCTGCACAGACGAGGGGGCGACGCCGCCGGTGAGTGTCGGGAGACGCAGCATTACCTCATCTCTCCCCACGGAGCGTGCGCTAGTGCTCCCGCCCCTGGTTGTACCACAGCACAGCACAGAACACAGAGTTATCAGCTCGATGCTGCCCGACACAAAGCGGCCAGCCGCGACTCCACAACCCCAAGAAGGGCTGTTTCCAAAATTACACGTTTCATTGCCGTCTCAACAATCATTAACAGCGGGGTGACTTTAAAATTCCCCAGCTCTTATTCTGCGCCAACTCTCACGCTACGCTTCTCTGCTTCACAGCCATTTCAAGGCTGCATATTTAGCTCAATCCCCAAAAAGGAACAAACACTCCAAAAGCAGCATCTCTCAATATATTCAGACCATGACATCATTTAATGGGGTCTGTTCTCCTGGTTTTGAATGCAATGACCTGCAGGGAGGGGGAAAAGCTGAACCAGGAAGAATGGCTTATTTTCAAGTTCCATGAAAGACATTTCTGCTGGCGAAGTGCACCTGACGAGAGGGACGGCTGGAGGAGAATTTTATCTCCTGCCAAGACATTTAAAGGGATGCTAAGTATTTGTTAAATGCTTTAAAAGCAGCAAGGCTGGGAAAGAAACTATATTTTTAAAAATCTCCTAAATATATAATACACCATAATGGGAAGTCAAGCGCAGGAGGGTCTTAAGCAACAAAAATGATTACTCCTGTCCTTATTGATTCCCAGCATCTATCTTGTCATTTAGACAGCCTTTCCATAGCACAAGGGGCTCACAAAAGCAGAGTGAAGATTCTTCACAGTGCATGTGGGACAATTTGACATCATAGTGCATCAGCACATGTTCAGGACGAGGTCAGACTCTGAGGCAGAATCCCTCATAAAGAGATTCCTGGAAGGGCCGAAATGTGCAGATGTGCAGAGGGAGGATCCGGCCCATCTGGGAAATGCAAACGCCACTCCATTACCTTCCAAAAATATCTGCCAGAACAGCATATTAGCCTCAAGTTCCTGTTAGAAACTTCCCTAAAATGCTGCTTTCTCTCCAAACCCATACTTGGTGTGAAAGAGAACTACACCAGCAAACACTGAACTACCAAAATATTCAGGCGTGCGCAGCAGCTTGGAAAAAGGAGACATTCTGTCAGGTTCTAACCTTTTCTTTACTACGCTGTTGACACCCACATCTGTGCACCAGCATTACCACCGATTAATCTGCAGTCCCTCTTCAAAAGGCTGCTGTGCAAATAAGGAGGAAAAAAAATCTACAGTGGTTTTACATCCATTTCAGCCATTTCCAAAGCTGTCTCAGAGAGCATATTATGCAGGCATTAACCCAAGAGGACTTATCCATTTTACAAAAGATGGGCTCTTTAATGTGAAGTGTGACTTAACACCATAAGACGTTGATGGGGGGGGAGGGTGCAAGTAAAACTGATTTTCTGCTGGAAACAGATTAGTGAGGACATTTTGCAGGGTGGCAGGAGCATCACTGTAGACGGCAGGAGAAACCACCCATCTTCTTAAGAGCGTCTCAGCTCCCTCATCCACTGGATGGAGAGCCAGCCTATTCTCATGGTCCACAAGCGGGCTGGTTACCATGACAACCACAGGGGCCAAATGATGCGGACGGGGGTGCGGCTCCCAGCCCGGGTCCCGTGTGTTTTCGCAGCATGTGACAGCAGTGCCAGCTGTCACTGCGTGGGGCTATAGACAGCGGCGTTAATGAGATCCAGTGCGTCTTTCAAAGGCCATGCTGACCAGGCAGCCGCGAGCCACACACACACACACACACACACACACACACACACACACACACACACACACACACACACACACACACACACACACACACACACACAGGCTTTTCGGGGTCCAGTTCTTAGGGTGGTTCTTACACACCAGCTACAAAGTGACACATTACCTGTGAGTCTTTCACAGTCATTTACAGCAAGACAGGAGACCGAAACACAGATGCTTTCTTTTCTTTTTTCTTTTCTACTGTTCAGCAGCAAAATTGTTCTTATGCAAATTTTTGTACTGAGAGGGCAATGAATCTGATTTGGCTGTGAAGGCATTTGCCAAATGTAAAAGGCCCACACACGCCCAAGCTAGGTTGCTGTCTCCCCAGGCTGACAGAACCGGCTTTGAAACCAGTTTGAATAAGAACAGAAGGCTCATCACGCCATTGGTTTGACAGGCCGTGATTAACTCTGCCATGGTGGAGGGCACCCCACTGCCAGCCCAGCCTGGTACTCCATGCCCAGTAAACCAGAAATGGGCCTCTACATTCTAACCTGACAGAAGTATGAGCATATTCACCCCTGCCCTGGGTACATGGGAACACTGCGCATTAACCAAAGTCCCCAGACCAACAGATGCAGAGAAACCAGACCCAAAACCCTGCCTATGCGCAAAGACCCAAGTGTACAAAAACACTCAAACCTGCATGCCTGACACACAGACGCCATGTAGGGAAGCAAATATAGGAATGCAGGAAAGTAACAGGTTTAAAAAAAAAATCTAAGGTCATTGGTCCCCAACAAAAGCATTTCCTCTAACTTCATCCGCATCTCCGGTAGGCAGCTTCTGTAAGTTCATATCCTGCGTGTTATGCAGGATCCCCTGCAACCAGGGGATCACACTGCAGTACAGCACAGGCAGGAATGGCATGCTGTAGTCTCTCCGAGCTTTCAGATGGACCCCCCTAAACACATAAAAATCCATTTATTTTTATATGATCTATGGATAAAAGAGTTCAAGGAAACTGATGCTGTCCACCAGTCGGCCCTAAAAATTTTAATGGCAGCACCCCAAACACATCAGAGGACATTTAAGCTGTTTTCACACATTGACTCCGGACATTGTCTAAACAGTCAGGTCTGGACATATATCCGGAGTTGCTCTTTCACAGACAGCACACAACTGGGAGACTGTCTATGTCAGAAACGTTTACACCTACTNGGGGGGGGGGGGGGGGGTTAGACGTCACATCACACAGCTAGCTGACCCAGTAGCTGAAAGCAAAAGCTGAGGGAACTCCAAGCAGCCACATGGAAGACAGATCACATCACAAAGCGGCGGTGCGGCTGGGGGTGGGGGGGGGCTGTTGAGGAGGGACGACAGAGGCCGCATCCTTCTGCCATCTGCTAGGCTATGCTGCTAACATGTGCCACGCATAGGCACTACCAGCCTCTAACCAACATGGCGTGACTGGCCATCACCCCAGTGATGCTCCGCTCCTGCCATCAGGCCTTCAGAACCACCTACGGCAGGCCGAGCATCCCGGCTGGAAATGCAGACTTCGCAAAGACGCACATTTAGCGTGTAGAGAGATACTAACGTGGCGGAAATCCATTTGAGCAAATGCATGAAGAACAATTTAAAAATAACGTGGAAGGCTCGCATAGAAGCGCACCTTCGCATGACGCCCGCCTGCTCCATCTATTATTCAGTGTGTTTCCACCAGGGAGGAAACCAATGCCTGAAACATGCCTGCAGACAAAGAGAAGCAGCAAGGAAACAGGGAGAAGTGCAGCCAGGCCTGCTACTTAAAGGGGGCCCTTTGTCTGAGGCCAGCTCCCTCCGCAGGAGCGGAGCAGCACGCCTCCATTCAGCTTCGCCTCTCAGATCTGTCACAACAAAGCTCGCGGCCACACTGTCGCCCGTGTCGTCGGAATTAGCGCTCTTCATCAACACCACCAAGGGCACATTCATCCTGTCACGTTCACGCCGTCCGCGTCAATCAACGAGGAACGTCCAATTAGAGTGCATTGTGTGAAGCTGTCTGAGGCGGCCCAGACTTACCATGTCTAACTCGGCCTCCTTCTTGAACACCGAATACGCTTCCTCATATCCATTGGAACGAAGATAATCGGCTATCGCTCGATTTCTGGAAAACAAAAGAGTTAAATTAGTCCCCTTGATACACTCTTTGGGCTGTCTAGTAACGTAAAAGCCATTAGTCAGGAATTAACCCACTATATGAATGGAGAACAAAACCAAACTCAAGGACAAAGAAGGATGTGACACATTCAGGCATAGGAACAAGTTTGCAGAATAACATGAAGCTGCACTGCATTTTGGCAATCGTCAAGCTCCCAATTCTGTCGAGCCACTATCATGACATTTTTACCGAAAAAGAAAAGCATAACCTGAAGGCAGGATAAACAGGAAACCCAAAAAATCATTAAAAAATGAAACTGAAAATCCAAAGATAGAGAGTCTGGAAGTAGGTGGTCTACTGTTTGGAGGAAGTAGGAGGGTAGTCTAGAAGTAGAAGGTCTGTGTTGAATACACGCAAGGAAGGAAAAGCACAAAGTGTGTAGAAGGAAACAGCCCCATGTCATCCTGGGAATGTGACCAGAGAAGACCTGCAGGACCAATCATTCTTTACTACAGCCTCTTAAGGAGGAAACGGCACATTACAATGCCACACACACACGATTGCCCTCTGCGTCTTCCTGCCAATCTGTCACTTGCAGTGATCATTAGGGTACTATTTCAGAAGCAACTGACTCATTTATTTAGGTTTTTTTTTTTGTTTGTTTGTTTGTTTAGCTAACTAGACTTCAAGGTTGGGGGTGTGTGATTTCCTACCTCCCAGTTGTGCTACTAGCAAAGGCTGCCCACACAGCCACCCAAAAACACCAAGCAGGCCCTCTTGACCACTTGCCCGCAAACCAACACCATAGCGCCACACTGACAAAGAAAGTGAACTGAATCTGATTATGGCCAAGGTTAGATGAAGGTCATCGCCCATGTGACACACTGAACACTGTGGGAAGGCCCCCCTCCAATCGGAGGGCTATTTTGAAGCACAATGCTTATCTATGAACCTGAACCAAGTAAACAGGACAGAACACAGATTTGGAGAAGGAACAAACATAAAAGGCAAACACGAGAGAGCAAAACAGAAGAAGCACTGCTTCCTACAGGGAGATAACACCACATGAGGAGCTTAAGGACACAGGCAGACTGAACTTTAAAAAAATCCATGTATCAGAACATCCAATGTGGCTTGATTCTCTCTTCACCCTTCTGGCACAAATTGAAGGATGAGAGGAAGATTCACATTTCACAGTATCTAAAGTCTATTGTAAGTCCTAATGGAGCCATTTAGTTTCAGGGCCTTTTAGTGAGGCCATCCTGGACATCAGGGGATCTCGGCACAGGGTTGGAGACCCACCCCCCAGCGCTGCTGGCTGCACTCCACATGCAAACAAAGCTGTGGAGCTGGGCAGGCCGAGACACCCCCCCCCCCATCTGCTCCCACACTCAGACTCCAACTGCGTTACCAGGTTGCCAGATACTGAGACAGATTACCACCATGTGAAAGGGAGGTCCGAGTGCTGGGGGAAGGCAACCGAAAGCACATCAAGCCCTGTGTTGTCGTCTGCCAAAAAGGCGAAAACCCTGAATCACTGCAGTTAAAAAACCTGGCTCAGGTATCGCAGCTGGATGGGGAGACACAGCATACAGCAGAATAAAGAGAAAAAAATTAAATAACCCACAGATACATTGTGCATGTGTGGCTATATTTCTGGTTTCCATGGAGACCAACACACAGCTAGCCCAGGGAAGAGGGTGGGGGGAAAAAAAAACCTGAACAAACGAGTGGGCAGACATTACAAGGAGCAAGGTGTAGTCAGGATGGAGGTGTACCAAGAAAGATACGGACAAAGCCTTCAGACGCTCACAACCAGCCGCCATCATAGTTATCATCAACAGCCTTTCAATCAAGAGGCAGCCATCAATCAAAATGCAAGTACCCCTAAGCATTAGATTAACCCCCAATCAAGGGGCACTCCAGATAAGTCACCCTCTCTATCATTCCATATATTCTACAAAGCAATTAGTATGTTATCAACAGTACTGAGTGAGGTACTTCACCCTGAACCCTAATACAGCTTTAGCTATTCAGAATAACCCAAAAGGAGGTATGATATTTATATCTCAACTACTTATGCACTCCTGTAGTCTAGAACCACACACATCTTATTTTTGGTATGTTATTATGGAATTCAGTATGAAAATGACAGTTCAATTATTTAATATTAAATCAGTGAAATAGACAGACACCTGCAGCCGACCCTCCCTGACTCACTCGCACAGCTCACGGTCAAGCTGAAGGCTAGAGGACCTGGGCACAGGAGTGAGAGCAGATCAGACTGCGGCCACGTGGCCTTTCCAGGCCCTGCACAGACGAGGGGGCGACGCCGCCGGTGAGTGTCGGGAGACGCAGCATTACCTCATCTCTCCCCACGGAGCGTGCGCTAGTGCTCCCGCCCCTGGTTGTACCACAGCACAGCACAGAACACAGAGTTATCAGCTCGATGCTGCCCGACACAAAGCGGCCAGCCGCGACTCCACAACCCCAAGAAGGGCTGTTTCCAAAATTACACGTTTCATTGCCGTCTCAACAATCATTAACAGCGGGGTGACTTTAAAATTCCCCAGCTCTTATTCTGCGCCAACTCTCACGCTACGCTTCTCTGCTTCACAGCCATTTCAAGGCTGCATATTTAGCTCAATCCCCAAAAAGGAACAAACACTCCAAAAGCAGCATCTCTCAATATATTCAGACCATGACATCATTTAATGGGGTCTGTTCTCCTGGTTTTGAATGCAATGACCTGCAGGGAGGGGGAAAAGCTGAACCAGGAAGAATGGCTTATTTTCAAGTTCCATGAAAGACATTTCTGCTGGCGAAGTGCACCTGACGAGAGGGACGGCTGGAGGAGAATTTTATCTCCTGCCAAGACATTTAAAGGGATGCTAAGTATTTGTTAAATGCTTTAAAAGCAGCAAGGCTGGGAAAGAAACTATATTTTTAAAAATCTCCTAAATATATAATACACCATAATGGGAAGTCAAGCGCAGGAGGGTCTTAAGCAACAAAAATGATTACTCCTGTCCTTATTGATTCCCAGCATCTATCTTGTCATTTAGACAGCCTTTCCATAGCACAAGGGGCTCACAAAAGCAGAGTGAAGATTCTTCACAGTGCATGTGGGACAATTTGACATCATAGTGCATCAGCACATGTTCAGGACGAGGTCAGACTCTGAGGCAGAATCCCTCATAAAGAGATTCCTGGAAGGGCCGAAATGTGCAGATGTGCAGAGGGAGGATCCGGCCCATCTGGGAAATGCAAACGCCACTCCATTACCTTCCAAAAATATCTGCCAGAACAGCATATTAGCCTCAAGTTCCTGTTAGAAACTTCCCTAAAATGCTGCTTTCTCTCCAAACCCATACTTGGTGTGAAAGAGAACTACACCAGCAAACACTGAACTACCAAAATATTCAGGCGTGCGCAGCAGCTTGGAAAAAGGAGACATTCTGTCAGGTTCTAACCTTTTCTTTACTACGCTGTTGACACCCACATCTGTGCACCAGCATTACCACCGATTAATCTGCAGTCCCTCTTCAAAAGGCTGCTGTGCAAATAAGGAGGAAAAAAAATCTACAGTGGTTTTACATCCATTTCAGCCATTTCCAAAGCTGTCTCAGAGAGCATATTATGCAGGCATTAACCCAAGAGGACTTATCCATTTTACAAAAGATGGGCTCTTTAATGTGAAGTGTGACTTAACACCATAAGACGTTGATGGGGGGGGAGGGTGCAAGTAAAACTGATTTTCTGCTGGAAACAGATTAGTGAGGACATTTTGCAGGGTGGCAGGAGCATCACTGTAGACGGCAGGAGAAACCACCCATCTTCTTAAGAGCGTCTCAGCTCCCTCATCCACTGGATGGAGAGCCAGCCTATTCTCATGGTCCACAAGCGGGCTGGTTACCATGACAACCACAGGGGCCAAATGATGCGGACGGGGGTGCGGCTCCCAGCCCGGGTCCCGTGTGTTTTCGCAGCATGTGACAGCAGTGCCAGCTGTCACTGCGTGGGGCTATAGACAGCGGCGTTAATGAGATCCAGTGCGTCTTTCAAAGGCCATGCTGACCAGGCAGCCGCGAGCCACACACACACACACACACACACACACACACACACACACACACACACACACACACACACACACACACACACACACACACACACACAGGCTTTTCGGGGTCCAGTTCTTAGGGTGGTTCTTACACACCAGCTACAAAGTGACACATTACCTGTGAGTCTTTCACAGTCATTTACAGCAAGACAGGAGACCGAAACACAGATGCTTTCTTTTCTTTTTTCTTTTCTACTGTTCAGCAGCAAAATTGTTCTTATGCAAATTTTTGTACTGAGAGGGCAATGAATCTGATTTGGCTGTGAAGGCATTTGCCAAATGTAAAAGGCCCACACACGCCCAAGCTAGGTTGCTGTCTCCCCAGGCTGACAGAACCGGCTTTGAAACCAGTTTGAATAAGAACAGAAGGCTCATCACGCCATTGGTTTGACAGGCCGTGATTAACTCTGCCATGGTGGAGGGCACCCCACTGCCAGCCCAGCCTGGTACTCCATGCCCAGTAAACCAGAAATGGGCCTCTACATTCTAACCTGACAGAAGTATGAGCATATTCACCCCTGCCCTGGGTACATGGGAACACTGCGCATTAACCAAAGTCCCCAGACCAACAGATGCAGAGAAACCAGACCCAAAACCCTGCCTATGCGCAAAGACCCAAGTGTACAAAAACACTCAAACCTGCATGCCTGACACACAGACGCCATGTAGGGAAGCAAATATAGGAATGCAGGAAACTAACAGGTTTTAAAAAAAAATCTAAGGTCATTGGTCCCCAACAAAAGCATTTCCTCTAACTTCATCCTCATCTCCGGTAGGCAGCTTCTGTAAGTTCATATCCTGCGTGTTATGCAGGATCCCCTGCAACCAGGGGATCACACTGCAGTACAGCACAGGCAGGGATGGCATGCTGTAGTCTCTCCGAGCTTTCAGATGGACCCCCCTAAACACATAAAAATCCATTTATTTTTATATGTTCTATGGATAAAAGAGTTCAAGGAAACTGATGCTGTCCACCAGTCGGCCCTAAAAATTTTAATGGCAGCACCCCAAACACATCAGAGGACATTTAAGCTGTTTTCACACATTGACTCCGGACATTGTCTAAACAGTCAGGTCTGGACATATATCCGGAGTTGCTCTTTCACAGACAGCACACAACTGGGAGACTGTCTATGTCAGAAACGTTTACACCTACTGGAAATAATCTGGTTGGTTTTGATGAGGGGCGGTGCTTGGGTAGAGTATGCAGGAGGCGGGGCACGATGAATCTCGCTGCCTACAGTTTGCCGTGTCTGTTTGTATTCTTCCGTTTTCACGCCAGTTACATGATACAAATGTCAACACACTCACTCATTTGAAGCGAATTCTCCAGAATTTTCCCTGCTCCATTCACACATGGGGGTCAAGTGGAAGTCACCCGGACTTTGTACGAGGGAGCTAGCAGGGTAAAATCCATCTAATGTCCGTACATTTGTGTTTCCATGCAGCCACTTCGGATGTTTAGAAAAGTTCAGGGTGGCAGTATGTGTCTTTAGAGGGACTTTAGAAACCAAAACCATCGTCTTTAAATAAATGATACTACTAACCTTCCCACCTCACACTTTAATGTCCCTGGCAATACAAAGCCCACTACACCCAAGCCTTGAATTATGTCACTACAGAAGACTGGGCAGGTCCATTTCAGGTTCAAGCTTCAGCACAGAACAGCAGACAAAGCAAAGAGGAGCATGACATCTACAAACACACCCCCAGAACAAGACTAAACCACTGAATGAAAGCATTTGTATTCTGCTTGTTAGGAGGAAAAGAAAGAAGCATTGAGCTGAGCAGTCAGCTGGTCAATGTCACCATTTTCCTTCATCCATTGTTTTAAAAGTAACAAATCAAGATGGCTGCTCAGACCAGGATTTACACTAGACAGCGCTTGCCAAAGGCCCAGGACAGCAGCAGTGTTTTTTACATTTATAATTGCAACAGATGTTACATTTCATGACAGTCTCTGCTACACAAGTCACTCATGCAATCAAGTCACCTGCAAAGCACTGCTTTGTTTAAATGCCTGCCCTGACAAGCCATGTAAGTGACAATTGGGGAAAACCATCCTTTCCCATTAGTGAAGTGGAAACAGATGGAAATCTCTGAAGTACAACTTTACCAGAGATAGTAAAGTCACTTAACAAAACATACATGTTAACATTCTTTTTAACCTTGCATGTTAATAAGACACAGACTGATAGCAGAAAACTACCTTGCAGCTGCTAAGGTTCTCTGGGCTAGCTACTCATTAAATTCACCCAAATCAAAGAAAAAACAATTCCCTCATTTAACCATGTACTGTAGTTCTCCTGGGCACACGAAGCAAATGTTGATGCAAAGGCCTACTAAAACTAATTAAATGTTAAACACATTTGGCCTGTGTCACATCTGATCTTTAGCCTGAAGGGTTACAGATGTAATCAAACCACTGGCAAATCTATCCTCAAACAGCACCCCCACAATGTGTTTGACATGGGCATGATTAAAGCTCTAATCTAGATGAATCAAGGGTTAATTACTTTGTGTGAAGCACCATAGGCTCTCTTTACCAATTTCAATGATTACAGCTTGTCATTACAGGAAGGACTCCAACTCAAAATCTGCCCTGTCAGCCATCCTTTAGCTAATAATTTCTAGGCAGATAGACAGCTAGGTCGTGTCTAATAACTGACCCTTGGATGCTGTGATCTTACAGAATCTATTTATGAGGCTACCTGCAGACATTTGCTTGTGTTCTTTCAGTCTTAGTCACACAGAGACAAGGCTGAGCCATAAACAATACAGGGAAACATTTAGGGAATATCTTGTAGCCACCAACTTTGATTTGATGGTATAATTAAACAGAATTTCAGTCAATGCAGGTGAAAATGGTTATGTTGAAGAACATAATGTAATGAATACCGAAACTAATAGGCTGTCATGTGAAACATTATTTATAAAGGAAAAATCCCCTCATTCAGCTACCCTAAATTTTAATCACTCTCTGCAAACCAACCAACTGGGGTCCTAGCTCAGCAACTCAAAATCAGCAACACTGAGTTTCCTTTATAAAATTAAAAAAAAAAAAAAAAAGAAAAAGCAGCCCTACACTCAGTTAATCATTCTTTTCATTTGAAGCCATTCTTCAGATTAGTTCTATAAAAATGAATAAGCAACAATTAACAGAGGTGGTTTCAAAACCACTGATTTCCTATTAACTGTCATAATAAAAACCCCAAGATAGATAAGTGACAAATGGCTTTACCATTTTATACTCCCTTTAAGACATAAAACTCATTTAAATTTATCTTAAGGTAGATCTAGCTGTGGTTCTGCAGGATGACAGATATGACAACTGGGGACTTAAATACCTCTCAAAGATTAAAAGAATACTGATAAAGCAGCAAGTATTTTAATTAAAATGACACAAAATTAGCACCAGCGAAATGATCACATTAATAAAAGGATTCATTCCACTTTGGCAAGGAGGTCATGTCAAGAAGACCGAACCTACTTCAGGACAGACATGGAAAGGGGTATGTGTGGGAGAAGGGACAACACATGACAAGGCCACTCACAGCTCGTCTCGTTGTCTTTGTGACAGCACCATGGCGGCTGTGAGGTTGGGGCAAGGCTGGGGTGCTGATGCACTTTCTGCCCTATGAGGTCGTCACAGGTCCAACGTTGAGCTCCGGCTTACAGGGGGGAGGGCGGTCCTCCGCTTGGGGGCTCTCCACGCACGTACGCAAACTCCGGGAACAAGACTTGCAGGTGGCTTGCGGACATCCAATAACACACACTTTCACTTCATCTAGTGGAGGGGGTGGGGGGAATGGAAACAGAGAGAGACAGAGAAAGAGACTGAACACATGGTCACAACAGAACCGCATGTGGGCTAAACACTACTTCCTGTCCTCAAAAAACCTTTAATCAGAACCCCCACAACTACTGTATTTCCTGCCAGTTTTCATCAGGTATTACATTAGGGCTGTGATGTGATTGGTTTACATTGGCCTCATGACTGAAAGACCCCCGGCTCACCGTCTGTTATAAGGAAAATACAGTATATAAAATACATAAATTAAAACCTTACCATACAAAAAATATAATTTTAGGTTGCATTTTATTATGAAGCACCATTCTTAATTACTACCCAAAACGCATAAAGAGATATCAAATTTGAGGAGGAGGGGACAAGGACAATACAATTAAGTTGGATTGGGCTCCGACAGAACAGCAGAAACAACAGTCTGATGACAGCTGCAGGTGACCATTGCTCTGATTGCCATTGTGGAGTGAGAAGAACAATCAACAGCAAACAAAGCTGCAGGCATCACAGAGGAAAGCGAAGAGCACAGCGGGGGCCCAAAGACACTGTGACTTCGACGGGGATTCAAGACCTCCCAGGAGCACTTACTAGGCAAAAACGCAGCCACCTCCCACAAGGGAAAAAGCGCAGCTCTGGATACACAAAGACAAAAGATCCGGAGATGTTCCTAAGACGCAATCCTCATAATGCAGGAATACTCTGCTACAAAATAAAGAGCAGGTGAAGTAGCTCCTTAGTGAAAATGGACTTGATGCTTTTGTTTAAAATGACATTACAAGCAGATAAGGGTCTCACTTCTCACTGCATCACCTGACCTTTGAACACTGACATCAGTAAACCAGCTCGTGACAAGAACACAAGACTACACCCAACAGAAGGCAGAAAGCAGTGCTGCTGCCAAAGCGCCTACACTAACCCCTTCCGATTATAAACACGTTTTATTTCCTATTTTTGCTTAAATGGGATTGGAAAAGCAGTAACATCTGGATGGAAAAACACCCATCTGACTGTTCTTTGCATTCCAGGAGCACTGAGGTCAGAATGCTAAGAGCACAGTGCATTATGAAAATTTCATTCAAATCAAACCCCCCCCCCCTCCCAAGACTGTACCGCCCTTAGGATTTGCCGAAGTCCGCCATACGGAAAAAGCTAACAGTCCTAAGGGATTAAGGACTGTGGTTACAAATGCCCCAATATCAACACACACGCAAAAGGCATAAAAACCCGAATTCTTGAACCACTACTCTTGCACACTTTGATTCAGAGTACACACATTTCCCACTCTGGTCACACCTTTTGTTATCTTGACGGATTATCAATGGCAGCAGCTGTTGCTGGGATATAACTGCAAAAACAACATAAAGAATAACGACTGGCCAAACAGAGAATAGAACAAGAGCACTTACACGTGAGGTGGTAAGAACTGCTGTGAGTCCCAAATCAAAGTTCAATTAGGGAAAATTAGCTTATTAAAATGTAATATGCATGCGACCTTGGCTTCTGCGATTACCTCCAAGTACACAGGCTCCTACTGGCCACATTCTGCAATCTGGCATTTTACTATCAGCGCACTCCGCCTGGTAACCCACAATACACAGAACCCTGACGGCAGCACTGCTCCAGAAACGGGTGGGGAGAAACAACTTAGCAACCGTCTGCTGGCAAACCACAAAGCCCAGGAGAACGAGTCCAGCAGTGATTATCCAGTGCAGCTGAAAACATGTCAGCTCCAAATACTGGAAGAAAACCTGCCAGACGCAGACATGATTAGAAATGGACTATCTAGAAGCACTCGATAAAAGCCAAAGGTGCTGAATTTTCACTTCTATACAAAGGCAGTAAAGCATGCATACCCATATAGAATTTCATAATTAATGTATGACACCCTGTTCAAATGCTCCCAGCTTAGGTGTTTCAGTACTTTATCCTCTATAGTATAATTCTCTCCCTGAATTCAACTGAAAAGATACAGAAATGGCTAGCAGGCAGGGGGGAAGCAGAACACACTTACATTTATACGAGTAGAATAATAGACCTTTGTGAAGCAGTGTATGGAAACAAGATGTAAACTACAAAATACATTTTGGATGTGCAAATTAGCACCACAAAACACATTCAGGTACTGAAAAGAGGCTACAGTAAAACATGAAAAGAATTTTATCTTTCCTCTTCAACCATTACATCCATATTTGCATATTTCAAGTGGCACAATTAAGACAAAAGAAAACATTATCCTTTATGATTGATGGGAAAATGTAGTAAGGCAACAAGCTAATTTCCCTTGTCACACTGTCTTTATGAAAATGCAGTGAGTTCGGAGATGCTTTAGGACTGGCCTGCAATGTATCTGTGAAACAATGGGATCATTGCCAGGTATTATTAACCAGTAAATTATCTTATACTCCCAGGCCTAATTACAGTGAATGGCTCTGCTGAGTGCAGATCTCATTCGACAGCACAGCTTTCGTCTGATTTTAAAGTACTGTGTCAAACAATTCCATATACACACCTTACTGAACTCTAATGAAAGTTATTCGGCACACTCATGGATTTCTAACAGAAAAGATGGCGATGGTCAGGCTCTACACCAGTAGAAACATTCCAAGCTCGACAGGCTTTACAAAAAACACAAAAAGGAAGAAAGGAAACAGTTTCCAACACTGGGTTTCATCTAAATTCACATCCCAGTGTCATTTGAAGGGTTGAAATCTCAAGGACAGATGCCACTGTGCCAACACTGCTGGCATCCCAGGCTACTGTGCTTGAATGCCAAACAGTGTCAACCACTACAGAGACAGTAGCAAGCACCATGTTCAACCACATCAGGCAGGAAAATGCAGACACACACAGCAGCTTCAGTGTGCTGTGGGGGTAGAAACAAAACCATGCTGCTACCAAGCTTCATAAGGTCACTGCCTACAAAATATCACCAATACTAACTACTGAGATTAGAAAACATGGTTGGTTTTTTAAAACAAATTTCACAGAATTTACTGATGAACCCTCTTACATGTTTCCATGTTTCCATATACTATAATACCTAATAATAATAATAAACAATAATTTAGAATAATTAAAAACTCCATGCCACATGAAGACAACTTGACATGTGAAGACTATCATAGCAGATAGGACCAAAACACTGCTCTGGAAATTCTGGAAATGCAAATAGGCCAATCACCTGCAAACAAACTGGCAAAAAATTCACTGGATTAAACACAACTGAAATGAATTTCTGTTCAAATGGTAAGGTTCTTTTTACAATGCATATCCCTAGAAGATTAAACCAGCTCTATTTACTTCAGGAAAAAAAAAGGATGGCAAGCTTTTTCAAGGATTAAGAAAATTGAAAAATTGACTATCTGGGCCAGTACACACTTTAACGTCCCTTTCAAGTAAACCAGCTGTGCAGAAGGTATTCATGCATAAAAGGTTAACTGGTTGGCCGTTACTTCAATGTAAATATGGCACAACGCTGACATAAAATCTGCAATCCCACAGGAATATACGTAATTATCACGGGTCATAATGTTTTAAATACCTTTCAGTAGCATCGGCTGCCTCGCATTTACGTCCTGCAAAGTCAGAGTAGAGGAGAATATTATACCGGGCGCAAAACATCTATAAAGCCAAAATGGGTACCATGGACAGCACTGTATGGGAGATTTTGGGTGGCTTCATATCTTAGGACACCTTAACGCACCACAACCGACTGGTTCCGCTGAAATTCACATTCAATAAACAACCGAAGAAAACCGACCATCAGCAGACCCCTCCCTCCCTTCCAGTGCACCCTGCTGGCCGGCTCCACCCTTATTACTGTAAAAATGGCAAAGGGTGATAGGTAAAAACCGTAAGCGAATACACTGGTTATCGATACAGATCAAAACGAAGGACGTTAACAAAAGGCTGTAGTGTGTATCAGGTATCAACTGTGGAGCGGTAAACAGGCTGTCTCTACCCTAGCCTCTTTCCAAAACAAACGCCTCTGCTTACGCCACACAAACAGTATTACATTTCCACGTCCTGCAAATAAAGTCGGAATAATATTTGGGCGAAATTAAAAAATTAAACGTCATGGGCTACGCATCCGGATCAGATTAATTTAACTGGGTACTATGTATCAAGTATAGATTTGAACACATTAAAACATTCCGTGACACCACGATTTTTATTAAAACGGCTAACGTATTCTGAAAGACTCCACCCTTAAAGCATTCCATCGTCATTTATGTAAACTGCAAGCGTGAGTATTTGACGCTTTATACCTAACTATCGTAATTTCACCAATAGGATGCTCCACCTCGTCGTTTTAAGAGAACATTTCAAGGTCGGGAGTAACGCTAACAGCAGCTAGCTCAATCTGATTTGAAAGTCATCGTCAACCGGTCGTTTTGCTGCGCGTTTACGGTGGAGCGCCCATAAAAGCCCACCCCCAGGCTGAATTTCAAGCCAGAAATACCACACCCGATTCTTGGCTACAGGTGCGGAGCCGGCTAACGGAAAGCCGAGGCTTCCGCCACGGTGGCCACGGGCTCCGTTAGCCTGTTATCCGGCTAACCTGTCAGCTGCAACGCGCTCCTTCGGCTGCTTGGACTGTAACATTCCCAAGCCACAATATGTACGACCTTAAGGTAAAAACCACTACACACAAACCCAAAGTATAAAAACGGTGCAGTGACAGCAGAAAGACCCCCCACTGCACTTCGGTCAGCCCGAAGCCGCCATTAGACGCCCAAGCGGCCCTACAAACTCATTTTATACTGGAAAAGACTTTAACTTCGAATCGGGAGGAAAACTCATACGACGCCCCTTTGCGCAACGCCCAGCCTCTGCGAATGACAGCCGAACCGGCGGCTTCGGGTCACCCGCGGCTTTAGAAACACTGACCTACATTACGGTCCGCACCCCGGGAGGACGACGCCCGCCTACGCCAGCAGCGTCCGCGGGCTAAATCTCAGACTGGTGACGGAGACTTGCAGGCTAACCGCGCCGCGGGCGACCGCATCACTGCACACGGCTAAGGTCGGCGTACCTCCAATGCTACCTGACCGCGTCGCCGGCTAGCCTGCGATAAATAGCCAGTGGCTTAATGAAATGAACTCGGTGGTTAAAACGTAGCAGAGTTATTCGGCCGTGCTGGCAGCGGCCGTCAACCTGAAGAAAGTGCGGACCGGTCCCGCTTACCTCCCTCCGTGCGTTTCCAAAACAACTAGCAAACAAGCTAACAGCTAGCTAGCTAGCGGCAGGTCGCGGCTCCAACGGCCTGTCCGCCATTTTGAGACACCGAGCGGAGGCGCAAAATTTCTCAGCCACATCGCCAGCCTCGCTGCTTCGCGTCCCAGAACAGCAAAAATCCGCCACCGCCAAGCAGTCCGGAGTGAGCCTTACCGCACTACGAAATGGCCCGCCGTCTCCTCCGCTGAATCCGACAATGACATACAGCGAAGAGCAAGCTAGTTTCTCCTTTTCGTCCTATAGAGTGAGACTCCAGCTCTCGGCTAAGCGCCTCAGCGTCTCCCCCCGCACTGATCTTCTGTACCGCATTCGCCTTCACACGGCGGACATGCGCACTGGAGACGCGCGGACCGGTCTGACAGTCACCGCGCGCACACTGCACCGCTCAGCCACGAAGTGTTTTTTTCAAATCTCGTGCGCGAACGCACGGCTGCACGCATGCCCGCGCGACGTTGGACGTGGTGAAATTATGTATATTTTAATGTCGCATTTTCCCTCATTTCCCGAATTTGTACCCCGACGATGACCGGTGTCTACAGCTATTTTTCCCCGGATGAGTTGCAGCTCGACATGACGTATAGCATATCCCCACTTCACCTACGTGGGTTAGCACAATGGCAAAACAAAATCCATCATTTTCTAAGAACTCTTCATGCGACATTTATAAACAAGACAATGCAATTCAGTTTAGCAGTATATTTGTGGTGCAGAATATTATTTGAAAATGTTTAGATTTTCTTTGATGGGTTTGAATTTAAATCGATCTTTGACCAAGGCATCATTTGTCACAATATATAAAACTATATCTGCATCAAGAAAAACATGACAACACATAAATCTGAAGTGGTTTTAGGGGTTAATCTGTGGTTATAATTCGTGTGCAAAGTAAATTTGTTTAATTTGCTTATCACACTTATTTTGATTAAAAGTTTTGTTTGTTTAATTCTGGGACACTATTAAAGATGAACACCTTATACATCAATGTATGCATGAAGTGTTTTGTAAATAATTTGGTTAAATAGGAAATGTGTATTTCTGAAACGGTAAAATGCAGGATTTCATAACTGGTAAAATAGACAGCACTTTATAAGTTAGGGTGTATGTGCTTCAGCGTAGATAAATGATTTTAAAACTGTAATATCACATTATTGTAGACGAAGCTTAAATAAAATTGAAATTGGTGTTCACATCAATATATTTACCCAGTAAAATTCTCTTTAGTGTGGCTTAAAAGCATTTTTTTTCTTATGAACGATTTTAAATTTTAAAGATCCAAACCAGTGTTGCTTTGCTAATTTGTTTAATACAAAAACATTGTGAGATTTCTTCCCCCCCAAAAAAAGGTGTTATTTGAGAAAGGAACACACTGGCTACATAATCACAGGGAAATAAAGGGACACTAAAAAAAAAAAAAAAAAAACACCTCATATATCTGATGTGGCAAAGATTTCACTTGTGCGTTTGTCAGCAGCCAACATGGATCACGGAGGCATTGTCGCAGTGTCAAAGTGCCCCCACGCAAATAGCTGTCCTTTCCTGTGGGGGGAAATACCGACAGGGGGCAGCTGCTCACTGTGTAGTTCAGGTTGTTGTGGAAATAGTATCAGCAACAGCTACTGTACAATCATGCTGAGGCTGCAAAAGAATTTCGACATTTATCTTCCCAGTTCTGTGAGAGGGCGGGGGGGAGTTTGGGGGAGGAGGTGGTCACCTATTTCAGAATAAAAATGGCAAGTCTGCATGTGCTGGAGTGCGACAAACATGACAGTGAGGTCGGGTGGGCGGCTGACAAACATGGATAAGAGACCTCTTGCATTCAGATCATTGTGATTTAACTTTTGATGGTTAACAAACGAACACTGACCAGATATACCCGATAACACCAAATGACAAGCAGAGGTATTTTTTGTGAATATTTCCTTCATGAAGGGAGATCCTGTACGTCAGAAATATACTCAGTTCATTAAGTCCCCAAAAGATCGCCCCCATCCTCTCAGCAAATCAATTTACATGACAAGGTATATAGAACAAAACGTCGCCAGATATTCATTTCAAAATGACGGCATTATGCGTACACTCGAAAATTCCACACCCAAATTTCCAGCTTTCTAAGAAAATTAGCGTCCTTACATGATGTTGCGCCTCACTTCTTAAAATTATATTTTAATACTGTTTGCATCGTATATACAAGTATTAGATACACATTGACAATTACTCTTCAGTTTAAAAATGTTTACTCTAATGAAATTAAAACCATAGAAAGATGCTTTGTGATCTGGTTTTATGGGTACAAAATACACTATGATTTTGTTATTGCGCAGTTTACACCCTAGCACCAAACAAAGCATTACAATACTAAACACATCTAAACAACTTTGACAGCAAATTGGTTTTCATGCAGTCATTTGTCAAACCGTATAATTAAATATATTGCTATACACTCAAAACTGAATTATAATGAAGGGAAATCACGGGAAAGTCAGGCTTACATCTGTATATTCTACAGTATAAGCATCTTTATTCAGACCCCTCAAGCCAAGCAATTCTATCATGGACTTTTTGAGCTCAAGGGTTTAGTTAAACAATTAATCAAAAACATTTCTTTTAACAGACTAAGTTTTTTTTTTTTTTTTTTAACTTCAGGTGTCACTACAGTTTAACGCCTAGCTGAGCCATTCCATCTAATCCTCACCGGTCCGAATACACCTTTCAGCAGGCGACACGATGACACCGACGTGCGCCAACACGTTTAGGTAGCTATGCATTCACGTTCACCTTAGAAACGGCTACAACGCGGTCTAGCGGCCGTTAATGGTACTGCAGGAGACCTGCTCGTAAGAGGCAGAAAGATAAAGACATACGGTAAGCAAATACAGGTGCGAAAAGAAACTGCGTAAAATTAAACGGCGTTTTACTTTCAGCCTTAAAGTGAAAACGTAAATACGTCCATTTAAAAAAAAAAAAAAAAAAAAAAAAAAAGCACAAACAGGCACAAAGTTTCTTCATTCGTAATCTTGGTCTCCTCCTTCAAAGAACAGACGTTATTTTACAAGGACTATTGTCGTTGGTAGCTGTATTACCTTTTCACCATTTAAGTCTGGATATTATCAAAATTAGGTTCATATAAAAAAATAATAAAAAAAAAAACCCGCGACCTCATCTATTCCGGTTACTTGTGTCGCACCCGACATTTGCACGGCGTGATTGGAAACGTGCACGCGCGCGCGCACACAGATTCACCACCACAGGCACACACTTGTACAAGAACAAAATGCATGTTGGCGCTAAGTGTCAAACACTCCATTCACGCTTTTTGGTACATTTAATTGAAAGAGGGCGCATGTGATTTTCGGCAAAGTAGTGCTTTTTAAAATCGAGAGGGATTCACCAGTGACTAACTGCTGCTGTGTGAGCAGTGAACATACATACGCAACGTGGGTGACCATTTCCAAACATACAAGGTTTTTTGCTACATAAGGCAAAACATTTAGGTTACAAACCCATTTTACAAATCAGTGTTAAGTCGGCGGGCACACATTGCGAAAGCTTGCAATGGGAACCTGAAGAATCGCGAAATACGGGGAAGACTTACGTTTGCCTTACAAAATCATTTAATTAAGCAGCAAACCTTCCTCCTGACAGCTCTGAGTATCCTCACTTCAACATACAAACAAGGAAGATTGAAAGCAGCTAATATATATATATATGTATATTTAAATCTACAGTGGACATGTAAGCCTTTTCCTTCTGCATTTTTTTTGTTCTTAACACACACATACAGACGTATACATATCCCATGTACATATATAGGTATTTATATATAAAAGACATTTTTCAAATTCATGGATAAATAACTGTCATGAATGGCTTCCCTCCAATTTGTTTTTAAAAAGAAATATCCCATTTTCTAATGATGCAGGTATACAGATACTGGTTTGATGACGGATTCACAAATTTGTCTACGTGTGCCTAACCCTACCTCAAGACACCGAGCAGCCGGGGTCTGTGGCGTGTCACAGTGCGTCAGGGCCAGCCACCTGTGCCGTATGCCGCACAGCCTGAAAGGCTGTCACATGGCCTGCTGAAGGCCACCGCCGTGTGCTGAAGCCATTCCACCTCATCTAGTGCACAGTAGAAATCACCTGAGTTTTGGAAACCTTGTGTACACGTGTGTTTGTTTGCGTGCAGAGGCAGAACACGTGGGCACCCTGCTGACCGCAGGGGTGGGGGGCTCAGGGTGGGGTTGGGACACTGAATATGAGCTAAGGCTCCGTTTCTCATCATTGCTGCCACCCCCCCCCCCCCCCCAGGCTTCCCACACACCATTTATTTGGCTCCTAAAGTACTTTCATCAGTTACCCCCCCCCCCCACCAACCAATTGTACACTTTTCATCCCCCAAAATACCCCTCAGGTCCTACAAATTAAACCAAATCAGTTCTACGCAGAATATGAAGCTTAATAAGTGCCTGTATGCCCCCCCCCCCACCACATCCCACCCCACCCCTTCTTGACAGGTTGATTCTCAGGTCCACAAGTTCCATTGGATGGAAAAAGGCCTCCGACAAAATGGGGCACTGTGTTAATCGACTGCCAGTTTGTCTCGCATCTCCAGGGTCTCCAGGGGCCCGTCTGGCTGCTCGCTGCTGCCCGACTCCTGCAGCCGCTGCCGACGCTGCACTTCAGCCTTCAGATTCTCCAGGTCCTTCTGGCTGCAGGTGGAAATGAAGCTACAATGACTGGCAGGTTGTGATTAACGGTGAATATTCAGCCCTATGATTAAAGCTCCCACCCCCCCCCCCCCCCCGCCAAATTAGAAAATGGGAAACTAACGCTCGGGACTGGGACGATTTTCCGCAGCCTCACCTGAGAGGAATGAAAATGATGCCGTTGATGACATTGAGCTGCTCCAGGACACTGGCCATGGTTGGGGCTGTGAACTACAAGGGAAATATAAATTATTAGGAGCCCCAAAGAGACAGAGGAAACGCCATCTGCAGTGGGGGCCCGAAGGCACTGACTTTGAGGGGCATGATGCTGGCATTGGAGCCGTTCTTGTAGATTTCATTCATAGTCCTCTGGAGTGCCACCGCCTGCTGCGTCAGGGTCTTCAGGTACTCCGAGCTCTCCTTCGTCTTCTCATGGGCCTCACCAACCTGGATGCAGGGTGTAGGGTTAATGCTGAGCACCAGCGCATTGCAGAAACCAAAGATTTGTTGCAGCCATCTTCCCGAATTTGCCGTGATAACGCTGCTAATCATGGCATTTTTTTCCAGAATTTTTTTGTGTGAAGTAAACACTTCACACCTCTCTCTCAAGCAGAGAGCAGCACGGCCGCTCACCTGGTTCTTGTAAATGGTGTAGCCCTCTTTCTCGTGCTGCAGCGCGGAGCGGAACTCCGCCTTGCTCTCATAGACACGTGCCACCAGGTGATGGCTGCGAGGCACACAAGGGGACAGTCAAGCCAGGGGCACCTTTGGCGGGGGGGTGGGGTGCATGATAGGCAGCGATTTATCATCCATACCTGAGGGCCACCTTCAGGGAGCGGGGCCCATGGTACTTGGTGTTTATGAGAAGGGCGTTTTCCAAAAACCGGAGGGACAGATCGTATTCCATGACACCATGCAAGACCAGGCCGATGTTGCTCTGCAAACAACCACAAGGAGGCAGTGTAAGCAGGGAAACCATGTTCACAGGTGACACGGTTCAAACGAAAGCCCGTCGCCAACTTGACTAGTCGGTTACCAAGTATCACACTCAATTTACCCATTTGTCACTCCCTCTATGACTTAAGGTAAACCAAAGCACAGAAGTGCTACATCTGGAACCACTTACGTCCAACAGCGCCATCTCTGGGTGGTCTTCCCCACACGCCAGCAGCATAAGGTAGCGGGCACGGTACAGCAGTCTCAGGGCTGTGGACAGCTGCCCGTTGGCAAAGCAGTACAGGGCCAGGTGCATCTGAGGACAAGAGGCACGGCTTCAGTTACAGGTGGTACGGAGGCGTCGGTGGGGGGCACGGAGTCATCGGCGGGGGGGCACTTACGTATTCCTGTATGCTGTTAGGATGCTCAATGCCCAGCACACGTTCACTCATCAAGACAGCTTTCTGCTGGTTACTGAGAGCCTGTGGATGTACAATTAAGATCTTTAAGGTGGAACACGACGGGCAGACACCGGACACGGCTCCTGAATAGCGGGGGGCCGCCGGGTGCCATACCTCAGGGTGGTCGCCCATGATGTAGTTGAGGCGTGCCAGGAGACGCAGGCAGGCACATATCTCCACATGCATGGCTCCATAGACGTTGTTGAAGAGGTTCAACGCTTCGTTGATCAGCTCACAGCCCTCCTTCAGGAACCCTGGAGGGGTAACCAGCGGCTTAGCGACTCTAGTCCCGTGGGTCAAAGGTCATGGTCTAGCTGTCAACGGGATCTAGTATGTGCTCACATGTACCAAGTATGGGAGACGGGTACATTTAATGCTTAATTACATCCACCAAGTAGCTTAGTGGGTCCTGCTCACCTTGCTGCACCTTAGCCTGACCACTCTGGAAGAAGTGGAAGGCGTCAGAAGCTTTGGGGTTGACATGCTTGACGACGGGGAAGATGTTCAGGATGTCCTCCTCCATAAAGGCTGGCTTGTGGCGACTATCGAAGTTGTACTCCTTCATCAGGACCTGCCGGAACAGGAGGGGTAACTCGATACTGGACAATAGAGTAACAAAACTGCACCCATACTGATTGAACCGTGACGAGTCACCGCTTAAGTGCTTTGGATCAGCAAGATAGACACATCGGAGTCTGTCGTCTGGGCTGAGTGCCCGGCGCGAGGAGACTGAAGCCAACCTGAATGCCCGTTTTGATGGAGATCTCCCTCAGTAGGGTTATCTTCTGCAGCTTGTACTCCTCCACAGCCTGGTCCACACTCTCGCTGCGGAGACACATGTCATACATCTGCTACAGCGGGAATGACACAGCCTCCGTCTGCTTGTCCAACTGTCACCCGACGCAGGATTTAATTTAGTAAACTTTCCTTCAAGAAAAGCAGGATTAACGGACCTTTGAAGACATCTTGCAGACTTAAGTAACTAATGTAAATTATTATTATTATTATTATTATTATTATTATTATTATTATTATTATTATTAGCCTGCTTAGAGATAATTCCAGGTGGTTACTACACCGTAAGTAAGGACTGACGGGTACACAAGCACACATTTGTGATAAAGGGGAAAATGCATGGTAATTTTTGTTATAATTACAGTCATTATGTTATGTGCATTTGTGCTGTTATGATAAATAAAACGTTAATCACTGTCCATAAGCTAATTCAGAGGCCAATACATGAAGCAGGCTGAACCGGACCGAACCGGACTGTGCCAGGCTGGGGGGCAGGCCTCACCACTGCAGGCCAAAGTGGTAGTAGGTCTTGGCCTCTGACACGATGTTCTTCCACAGCTCGCCAGGCGTCAGGCTCGCCCACGCCGTGTTGTCTCCGCCACCCGGGACCCGGTTTCGGCGTCTGCGATTCTTTCGGCGCGACACCAGCTCGTCCGCCGGAAGGTGAGCCACAGCCTCGGGGAAGGAGCTCAGGAAGCAGTTAAGGTAGTGGCTGACGGCCGCAGAGAGAGCAGACAGCTCCACACCCTGGCGAGGAAACAGCCAAATGGCGGCCATTACTGCCTGTCTAACATCTCGCCAACACGAGGTTCACAGCGTAACAGGAGATGGGGGGTTAGTTTCTCACCTGCAGGTATGTTTTAAAGACGTGCTTTGCACACCTGGTGATCAGTTCTGTAATTCCAATCCTCTGGGGGGGGGCGACATAAACACAGGTTTAGCATCATGGCTACCATTCCGCAGATTCCACACAAGGGGTCACTCACATAGATGTGGTCCAGCTGGCCCTTGGTGGAGGCCTTGCCCACCACCTCCAGCACAGAGCCAAGGTAGCGGACATTAATGCCCCGCTGGTGCAGGGCCTCTGCGAGCGTGGCGCCGTCCATGGGCAGGGCAGTGTGGTCCAAGCAGTCCTTTACCTGAAGGAGAGGGCAGGCGAGGGGTCAGAGGTCACCAGCATCATTGACATGTGGGCGACAGGCCGGGAAAGACCTTTTACCAGGGATTCGATCTGACAGGACACCAGGAAGGCAGAGGCATCCTTCAACAGCTGCTTCTGCTTCTGTATGTCTTCCGCACTGTCGTCAGGGAAACGGACCCCTGTCACAGCACACATTACATTACATTGTTTATTTGTTTATCAATCAGATGCTTTTATCCAAAGTGATCTATTGAGAAAGAAGCATCAGTCAGTCGCTGGAGCAATTGGGGCTTAAGGGTCGCGCTTAGGGGCCTAGCAGTGACACTGCACAAACTCGGGGGGCTTGGAGCGCGAGCGAGCAGAAGCGCGCTCCTACGACAGAGTCAGGCGGGCGGCCGTACCCGGGGAGAATATGTCCGGGTTGAAGCGGATGTCGAACGAGGTGCTGCTGACGGAGCCCACGGCTTTGCAGGCATTGAGCACCACTTCACGGCTCTTAGGATCTGCAGCAGAAGAGGACCGTGAGGGGAGGGGAGGGGAGAGGGGGCTTCATCATTACCAACAAAGACGTACACACCAAACAACAATTTATGGTATCGACAGCCGAGCGCTACCACACAGCTGACGGTGTCCTTGACAACGGGAAGGATCAATAACACAAGTCCAACGGAGGGGCCATTTTTCACCGATACAGATTAAGAGCTGAACTCGCACCAAGGAAGCGGGGAAAAACAACTTCTGTATAAATCACAGGCGTGCGGAATGAGCGGGGGCTCGCGTTACCCCCATGTGCCCCGGTCACAGGGCCAGGCGCAGCACACTGGCATGACAAAACCGCATTAGAGACAGATTACTCTCATTTCCTATTTTCCAACAAGCAGCAGACACGGGTCAAAGGTTAAATCTCGGGGGGAATGGGGCAGGGGGGCAGATATGCAATCCACATAGGACTAACAAGAAGTGGGGGGGGGATGCAGTGAAGGACGGAGAATCAGACAGCTGCACCCACGCCTTCACGGAGGAGGAGGACAGGACGGGTACAGGGTCACGGTGTGCGGTGGGGGAATGAAATAAGCTCCCCAGTAAACAGGCAAGGTGGGGATTACCCCATGTTCCGGCACAGCCAATCAGAGGAGAAGCGGGTGTTCCTGAAGTCTCTCCACCCGCATCGATTACCTGCTGCACCTGTTACCCCGCAACTCAAATCAGCACAGCAAGGTCCGGAACATTCTCCTGGGGCTGCTTACCCTCCAGGGGACTCTGGCACTCCCCATTCTCCACTGCCGGCCCGGCAGATCCGTTGACGGCAGCGACCTGGGACGAGTCTGGCAGGGGTGTCCCGACAGCACCGGTTTCCCCCAGAGACGTCTCTGCCTGGGGGGCCTCCGGCACTGCTGCCTGTGTCCCGCCCTCTTTACTGGCCTTCTGCTGCATGAGCTGCAGCGCGGCCATCTTCATGAAGAGGAGGTACCTGGAACGCACCAAGCGGAGGCCATTTCAAACAGCGCCACCTCTCTGCTGCTCTCAGGGCACCAGCTTTTAAACAAGCAGCACCTCTGCTCCACCACAAGGTGGCACTGCAGTATTAAAAATTACTAGCTGATCTGGCCTTCACGCTACTGCTGAATATCCACTGATATGATATCCACAACTGTTGTATTTAAGCATACGAAGGTCCCAGAAAGCACACAGTATGCAATTGCAATAATAACAAATAATAATAATAACAACAATATTAACAACACCAAACTAATAAATAATAATGATAATGGCACTACGGATCCCCAAGGGGAAATTCCCTTTTTGCCTACCCATCTTGCTCACTATGACACACAGACACATATGTAGGTGACAGTAAGCTGGGGGTAAAGGGCCTTGCTCAAAGGCCCACAGACGTGACTATTCTGCCGAGGCCGGACTCGAACCCGCGACCTTCCGATGACAGGCACAGTGGCCTACAGAAGCTTATCGGGTCACTTGGCCGAGACGGCCCCCCACCTGTGTTCCACAAAGGCCTCGATGAGTTCCTGCCGCAGGCAGGCCAGCCGGTGCCGGTGGTGCCGGGGAAATCCCAGCCGCCTGCTCTCGACGGGCAGCTCCTCGCCCTCCACGGGCAGGAAGTTGAGGTCAGGAGGGAAGGTGCGTAGCAGGTCCAGGATGTAGTGCCGCCCGTCATTGCCGATGATGCCTTTACATTCGACAGAGGAGCAGAGCTCGGCGGCCGCACCCTTCTCGTTGAGCACGGCGTGCTGCTGCACCTTCAGAGGCCGGCTGGTCTTTTCCAGAAGCTCCAGGTACTTGGGGTGGGAGACGACGGTCTTGCCGAAGTCGACAGAGCCGTAGATCACACTCTGGTCCTGCTCACGCTCCAGGATGCCGGGGATGATGGACTGGGCGGTGACCCGGTAGCCGCGGTAATCCACCACCACAGTGCCGAGCGTGTACAGGCCCTCCACATCCACGGCACTGTAGGCCCGCACGCCGTTCAGGTCGTTGGTGGGTGCGGCGTGTGCGGCGCTGTCGCCGCCCAACTCCCGGTAGTGGTCCCTCACATCAAAGCCCAGGCTGAAGAATATGTTGTTCCAGATGAACATTTGCATGCGTGTCTCTTCACTGGGATTGATGGCCATTACGTTGCCGTCGATCACTGCCATCGCTCCGCGCGTGGCTGCTGCAGCAAAGTCACTGTGTACCTGCAATTAGCGGCTAGCAGTTAGCGTTGATAAGCCCCGCCCATAACTAGTCAATGAATAAGCAAAAAATTACTCTAACACAAAATAACTGAAAAGTAAATTAAGTTTATATTTGGTTAAGCACAGGAAAGAAAATCACTGTCTGATACGTTGTTAATCACTGCATGACATGTTAATGCTCACAATCACTATAGAGACAGAGGATTTTGCCATCAGCCGGCATCAGTAGAAAGCACCGTACCGCACACTGCTAATCCGGGAACAGATCAAATTCAAGGTTGACTGCTGAACGCGCATCATTATAAAGTCATGAAGTCAAAATACATCAGTTGAACCATCGTACAGTGAGGTGCATCTGTACTCACAGCACATTAAACCGATATGCTGGGGAGGGAGTCGGACGCCCAGTGGTCTCACCTTGAAGATGGCCCGTTCCCTGAGGAGTCGCTCAGGCAGGTTCTTACGGGGAAGCTCCCGGGTCGTCTGCAGCTCCTCGTTCCAGTCACGCGTCTGCCAGAGAGGGAACCGTCAGCTCCCGCACACAGGCAGGCCGTAAGGCCCTCACAGCCTCTGCACAGGCGTACCTGTCCAGGTATGTGTTCCTCGTAGCCCAGGCGGGAGGTATAGGCGTCCTCCGCCCTCACGCAGTCCATGGCGTGGTCCACCTGTGGCGCGGTCCAGCTGTACACCTGGAAGGGGGTGGCTATTCTCTCAAAGGGGTGTTTCTGGACCCTGAGGCAGGGACCGAAAGGAATGCCAGGGTCACAAAAACCAGAAAAGTAGTCTGAAGAGCCAAATTCAAAGTGTTCAAAACTGAACTTAATAATGAACCTCCGGGCCTGCTGAAGTAATGACAGGCCGACAGGTACATGTCGAGAGATTTGGGTCATCGCAGAAATTCGATTCTAGCAAAGATATCCTTGCCCATGACTCCCATCGGGCTTTTTTGGCAACGAATGCTGACGGCTGAAAACAGGGCCGGCCAGGAGGAGACAGGACCGGCCCTGCTCGTCAGGCCCTCTGCCCAGCCCCATGAGACGCTCACCTTTTCTTCTGCAGGGCGGTGAAGTTTCTCTTGAAGGTGGGGCTGATCTGGCTAAGGAGCTCCACCAGTGAGTGGCTCAGAAAGCTCGGGTTGGCAGGCTTGGGGTTGAAGGTGTAGGTGGAGGACCTACAGGCGGTGGAGGGCAGGGACACGATGCTTTGTTAATAAAAATCACTGCTATGCTGATGTTCTACATGAACATATTACTTCCTTCCCACCACAAGAACTCTTGTGAGGATCTAGCAGTGGTGGGCACAGCTGACCGAAAAGGTAGCTTCGATAACTAATCTGCTTACTCCAAAGTTTAATTTGATGAGGCTTAACCAATAAACAGCAAAAAAGAATTAGCAAAAAGCTAATGACAACCACTAACTAGCGCTAACCGCTAATAGGAATTCTGCATCTGTTAAATTTTTGGCTCTGAACAACTAAAAAGCATACCTAGAGAGTTAAAATTACACTGAATACTGAGTATTACGTATACGCTTTGTATGTGGAGCGTCATGTGATCACTGGTTCTTCTCTCTCTCTCTCTCACTGTGGGATCATGGGTAATCATCTCCCATGCTCGGTCTAAGTCGGCGTGCCTTACTCGTATAGTAAAAATTTAGTAGAAAAGCACCACCCAAATAAGGCGGTAACAGTGCGAGCGATGAATCCGTTAAACGGCAATGCAATGTCCACATTTCCGCGAAATCCTCAAAAGGAGGCAAAAGCGGCTGTCATTGGATGGGTTCCTTGTTAAAGTCGCACAAAAAGAAAAAGATTCCAGTGAGCCAACAGACAGCAGTGATTCCGTTAGTTACAGTGAAAGTCGTCCTACAAAATAACCCTCCTCTTCTCCTGTCTCGTCTCCCTCACATCCACGATTCTTTTCAAAAGGTAAAGCACAGGTTAATTTGTTTTATGTATTTTTACTTTATATTTTGTATTAATCATTTTCATATGAATATTTTTAGGTTGGGGAACGGCGTTTCCATTATTTCTTATGGGAAAATTTGCTTCGATATACGAGTGCTTTGGATTACAAGCACATTTCCGGAATAAATTATGCTCGCAAACCAAGGTACCACAGTAAATGCAAATGTGATTAAAGAAGAATAGCAACAGGATAAAATTAAATTTTAGACACTGCTCACTGGTGAGTTGTGCTATTTTTAGAACAGGTCCGCGGGCAACTCATGTGGTCCCTGGGGGCATCCTGGTGCCCGCGGGCACTAAGTTGGTGACCCCTGTTGCAGAGTCTCCAGAGTAAATCTACTTTGAAATTTTTTTTCTACAGTCATGGCAAAAGGTTTTGGCAGTGACACAAATTTTGTTTCTCACAATCTTTGCTGTTTCAGCATTTTTAGATTTTTTTATGTGTTTCTATGATATACTGAAGAACATTTTAATATTTCACAGGCTTATATTGGCAAATACATCAAATGTATGCACAGTGTCAAAATTTACAGTGTTGACCCTTCTTCATAACTTCTGCAATTCGCTCTGCCATGCCAGATATCAGCCTCTGGGCCAAATCCTGACTTGCCTTGTTAGAGCTCGTAGCTGATAATTTGTGGGCTTCTGATTGTCCACCCACTTTGAGGATTGACCACAGCTTCTCAATGGGATTAAGATCTGGGGAGTTTCCTGGCCATGGATGTCTTCAGTTTATCACAGAGACACGAAAAAATAACCTAATTGGTCCACTAATGTTTTCAAAGTTAGCGGAAACGCCAATCCGCTAACAGAAATGTTAGCTTCGATAATTAGCGGTGAGGCCCACAACTGACAACCAGGCAATTCAGTCACATTCCCACAGCAGGAACTCGGTCCAATTGCAGTTCCTGGGAAGAGTTCTTGGTCCACATTTTGTAGGTACTTCTCAGTCAACCAGGAAATACTGGGGGGAGCTTATACTGATGAACGTTGCTGATTGGTTGACCACAAGCACCAGCGCTAACTTGGTTACGCAGCAGTGTGGGGAAACGCGATGCAGGTACTGGAGCAAAATTAAGCAGATGGAATTATTTTTGCATCTCAATCACATTAAATACATTATTTTGGCTTGTCTCCATATTTCTACAAAAAAAAAATAAAGAATCTGCATCACAAATTTGGCAAAGGTCTTTTCTTCCAAGCTCCGGCATTCCTTTCATATTATATAGTGGTACTTAGTTATGGGAGTTTTGACTGATATCAGTAACAGATATTTCTGTCTAATATCAGTCTAATGGCTGGTATTGGTGCCCAATTAGCACAATACCTTAACATCATTTTTTTAATAAAATGTCACGAGCTGTATAAATAAAATGTCTCGTTTTGAAATATCCCATATTTTCAGACTGTTTGGTCAATCTCCCCAATAACTAACAAAACGACTTGTTCATCCTCCACTGTTTTGAGGTTGCTGTGTAGTTTCATATGAGAATGATCTACAGACTTTTAGCACCTCCCGTGCTTCATTAGCATGAAGGACACAGTTCCTGTTGTGTGGTAGGACGACGACACGCGTAAGTGGTCATGAGCTGCAAAGGTTCCTGGTCCAGTCAGCCCAGGAACTCGGAACTAGGCTTCTGATCTTCAGTGTGAAAGCGCCTCATGGATTGGAAGACGGTGGAAGACGGCGTCAGGGTGACACTCACTGGTTGAGGTAGAATCCCCGAGTGGAGGCGGTGATGCTGGCGTGCTTCTCCTCCACCGTCACCACGTACAGGTACATGAGGTCACCATGCATCTTCCTGTTGCCTGGTGGGGGGTTCCAGCCGCTCATTGTCAGGACCTTCAGGCACTGCAGGGGCTGCCCGGGGGCCAAGAGAGCCAGCCGGTTAAAAACCCACGCCCCAACTACCCAGCCAGGCTAATGCTAGCATTAGCTGAGCTTACTCTGTACGTTTATCACTGAAATCCCAACATTTAGTTATTATGGCACTCCCAGCACCTTCCAGTCCTTGTTCTGTGGCTGCAGGGGCACCAATGGCCTGTCTTTGCTGCCAGGCAGGATGTGCTCTGGGGGGGTGCAGTCAATCTGCTCCAACTCGCTGCCTTTCTTCTTGCGTTTCTCACTTTCTGTGCGTGTGGAGGAGGGTGTGTGCCATAGAGGGTAAAACAAACACCAAGTCAAACTGTCAGTGCCACTTCAAAATGAGGAGAGACCCCCCCCCCACCACCACAGACACTCATCCCCCAGGTCCCCGTCAGTGAAGACACTCAGGAAGGAGAGACCCCCCCCACCACCACAGACACTCATCCCCCAGGTCCCCATCAGTGAAGACACTCAGGAAGGAGAGGGAGTTGCAGTCCACCCCGTTGTAGGCATCTGAGGGGTCGAGGCTCTTCAGCAGGTCCCGGATATGCCGCACGTGGATTCGGGCCTCGCGCACAGTGTATGGTTCTGGCAGGGGGTAGCGGGCGAGTCAGCACTTCAAGAACAGCCCACACCGGCTGCCGTCGCCTCGCCCTGACATCTCACCTTCCACCACTTTCAGCACAGAGCCTTCCTGGAGGCCCTCGATGGACTTCAGCTCGGCAAAGTTGTCCAGCACATTGCCATCCAGCTGCAGGGAGAAGCAGGTGCGGTGGCAGGTATCCTCACGGTCCATCAACACCTGATGGATCTCCTGCACCATCTCCTGAGGTGAAACCTGGGGGCGAGGGGAACGAAGAGCCATGGACATCCTCCTTCGCACCAACATTTTCAACAGAGCCTTCATGGCAACTTTATTAGCAGCATTGAGCCTTCATAGAGTTAATGAGCCCTCATGAGCAGTCACTGAGCCTTAATAGAAAGTGAATAAGCCTTCACAGAGAGTCACTGAGCCTTCATATAGTTAATGAGCCTTCGTAAGCAGTCACTGAGCCTTCGTAAGCAGTCACTGAGCCTTCGTAAGCAGTCACTGAGCCTTCGTAAGCAGTCACTGAGCCTTCGTAAGCAGTCACTGAGCCTTCAAAGAGAGAGAATGGGCCCTCATAGGCAGTCGCAAATGAGAGAACAGGTGGTACCTGGAGGTCAAAGGGTTCCGTCCCAGGAGCCTGGATCTTGACAGTGAATCCCGTGTCTTGAATCACAATGACTTCCTGTTCATTGGGGTCCTCTCCTGGCTCCATGTCCCCACCGCCATCCTGTTTGGACTGCTCAGAAGGATTGTGGGCAACTTCTCCATTCGTCATAGCCTTGTCTGCACTATGCCCTGTGAAGGTGAAATGCAGGGGAACTGACACATGACTGACACACGACCTTCCCCCTACGCCGCTACCCCAGGCATCGCCCTCATCCCAGATGCTCAGCAATATGCCATGTCCTTCACCTCTGCCTCATCTTAGTGGAAAATGGCATCCATCATAACTCAGTCCAACCCTCACAGCAGAACATGTGGGTTAAATAAGCAAAGGTGGGGGGCTTTCATTCCATCATTCCTTCCCCCATCTGCACTTTTGGCTTTAGGAAGTGGAGGGACACACTGTAAATAGTGTGACTGTTATACAAAGGGTCAACTGTCACCACCCTCAGTCAGGCACACCCCAGTCTCTGTCCTCAGTCCTTAATGCTGCTGCTGCAGATCCCCCACTTGCCTCAATGCTGGTAGATGAGAGTGGTCACATAGACCTGCATGTTGTTCTCCACCCTCAGGCCTCAACCCCTCACTAGGGTGAGGGTCTTATCAGTGGGCGGGCAACCAGCTATCAGCAGGGACAGATGCTTATTCAGGGCCACATCCCCATGCAGAGAGCCTGGTCTGTCACTCTGAGATTCCTCTGCTGCAGTGGAAGCTCTCCACCTGATCTCCAGCAGTTTGATATCACTCGCTGGGGGAGGGCAAAGCAAGCCTGGGTCCACACACATGCATGTGGCCTTGGTTTGACAAGTTGGGGAAAAAATATGGGAGGACACCCCCCCCCCACCACCCCACCCAACCCCAGCACACAAAACCATGTGGGGAGCAGAATTGGAATTTCAGGGTTACAGTATTTAGTGTGGGTTTGCAGCCAATGGCTGTTTGTCCCCCTAGACAACTGGCAGCCTGTCCTTGTTTATGACCAAAGGCACAGGAGTGTGAGGGTCAGAGGAGAAACAAACAGCTGGCTTTGCCAGGCCTGGGAGGGGGGGAGGGGGGCGGCTGGGATTACAGGCCAGAATCTCATTCTCAAAAAAAAAATAAAAATCAAACTTTGGCACCGAAAGCCAGATACCTGCTGGTTCGAGGCCGTTCAAATGAACTGCCTCTAATGAACAAATTAAGAGGCAGCAGAGTGCCCCTTACGCCATGCGGAGCTCAAGGTCCAGAGCCACAAATCGCCATCTTAAGCCCAAAGCAGTGAGGCTGCCTGGCAGGTTGCGTGATGCTTATGTGAATCAGCTCGTAACAGGAAGGTGGGTAGATGAAGTCCCACATGGAGCCTGACTGCAGCGCTGGGTTAGGCATGTAACCAACGTCGATACAGGAAGTCCTCCAGCTGTGCAGTATTACTCCATATGATGGAAAAGTGAATAAGAAAATACCATTATTTAAAATCCAAAGTAATGGATCTGACAAACCAGTACAATGTTAATGTATTATGAGATTAATGGGTGCATTTTGCACCTAGATACTGCCAAACAATTTCTTTAGTTAAAATTCTCTCTCATGGTGTCCACAACCCCCTCCCCCCTCCCACCATCACATTAGAAGCTTATATCACCACTGTGGCCTAATTCAACTGATATCGAAGGCACCACTGCCACCCCCACCACCCCCACCGAGGGTCCCCAGTCATAAATAACCAGCGGGGGTACCCCACTCAGTGCAGCAAGCCAACAGCACTAACAGGCTTCCATTTGGTCCCCTGGACTGATAAAGATAAACAAACGAGTCTCTTTGTGAAGGACACTAAAGAAACACAGTTAAATACACAAAGAAAGGAGACCACAAACAGGGGGGGAATATCCCATGAAGCAGAGCTCTGCACAAAACAGACGCATGAGGACAAAGTTCCTACCACAGATCAAAGTGAGGCAACGCTGGAAGTGTTGCAAAACAGGAGGCCCATGGTTAAATATAGCAGAGAGACGGGGCAGACAATGCAGCGGGGGAGACTACATGCTGCCAAGCCCCCATCAGACAACAGCACCATCCTTCAAGAGTCCCTGCCTTCACCTTCGACAAGGTGCCCCCCTCAGACATCTATGCCAACAAGCACCCCTGCGCCCCTCCACCCCCCCTACCCACAGGCTACGTCTATGGCCCCATGAGAAAAATCAGGTGCATTCTTTTCTACAGTGGAGCACAAAATACCACAGCACCTTTAAGACTTTCTGCAAAAACCCAACAAGACAGGCATCTCAATTCTGATCCAAACCAACAAAGATCTTTAAGATATCATCATCTGGTCATCCATGAGTGATAAACTTTGGTTTTAAAAAGACTAAGAAAGGGTCAAAATGAGCATGGACTCAGACTTATAAATAACCGTGATATTCCACCACATTTGTAATCTTCAACAAACCCCTGACAATGGAGAGCCAATGTACAACTTATCACACTGAAGGGGCACCAAGTGTGAAAATAGGAATTGAGAGACCAGAAGTGCTTAGTTAATGTCCAACAACCAGTTCAGCTGAGCTGTGTAATTCACTCAGTAAGCCAAAGCAGGACAAGGGCAATTCGGCAACACATTCAAAAGTCTTGCATCTAGTCAAGTCAAGTTAATTTATTTGTATAGCTTATTTAAAAACAACAAGAGTTGACCCAAAGTGCTTCCCATCAAAAATGCAATTCAGTAAGCGATGACAGAAGTTACAAAAAAAAAACCCAGTTGGACTGAGGATTGGTCTACATTCTGGGGCTTCCATTTTACAGTTTGGAGCATGTTGCGAAATCCCCTCCAAGGCAAAACACGGACTGCATGCCATTGTTTACTTAGACTGCAGATTAATTCATTAACAACCCCTTAAAAGAGCAGGGAAGAAATCCCCACAGCACACAACCACCCAGATGCCAGAGGGCAGACGATAGCCTTCAAGTTAATGGTCAACGTGGCTCCCATGATTGAAATCCAATTTGCTCATCAGTTGGTGCAACGTCATAATGAGACGTGCACCACTGAATAAAGACACTTAAAAGGCAGGAAGGAACCCAGAGCTGAGCAGAAACGGTGCGTACCGCATAAACGCGCACCAAACCAGATGCACATTACAACATTGAAGTTCCCCACTCATTTACATAAAAAGAACACCCAGTACAATTTAAGCTTCTCTTCATCTATTAGGAAAAACAGCCCATTGTGACCACTGAAAGAGATTCAGGGGAGTTAGACAAAAAGAAAAAAAAACACTGCACTTTTGCTGTCGCCTGTCAGCCACCACTCGGTAAAAAAACCCACAACGGTACATATAGAATGTTGCAGGACAAGATATACGAGAGTCTGGAATTCTATAGCTTACTGAAAATCCTGTAAATGGCGAGTAATTTATTTTGTGGGAGTCTTAAAAACAGCAGCACTGCAGGCGTATCTTTAAATACAGTTTGTGTTGTTATACATTTTAAGATCCACCTGACTAGCGCGACTGTTTAACATAAATAGAACAGTACAATAATCTACAACAATGGTGATTTTAAAGACATACCTGGAAAGTGCAGTAACAGGCAGTCAATCAATTAAAAATCATTGCCAAGCTGACAGCTCAAAAGGGTACTTCAAATGACAGGTGCCAAGTAAGGGGGTGACATTCAGTAACACATTTAGCGGAAGCCCCATGTTAAATGTTTTAAAGTCTAGAAAAATATAACATAATGAGCTTAAAGCACCAGAGCAATCAACCTCTCTGTCAAGTCTGTCACGAAAATGGGGCTAACGTCAGAGGAATTTAAAAAAACGTGAAGAAAGCACGTTCTCCGGTAGAGGGAGGGAGTAGTCTTTGCTCTGTATGAAGTACAATTGTATCTTCACTCATGGGCCCCCAAATTTATAAAACTAACTCGTTTAAACCCCAAAGTTAAAAAACTAAACCATTTAAAATTACACCAGAGAGAGAACAATGCCGCTTAGATGTGACTTTGCCAGCTTAAGCACATAATGCGGAGTATGTATCTTTATTTTAAATGACACTTACCCGCCTGAGGACTCCCCCTGTATGTTTAGTGTAACCTTCTCGGCATACATGCACCATGACTTTAACCGAGGCGCGATTTCCTCTTCCGGGTCGCGGAACGGACGATCTCATCCGTTAAAAATACGAGTGGGAGTCCAGAAGAAAAAAGTTCAGCGTGACTGGGTGAACTCGGTCAGCCGTCACTCAGAACTGTTAAGCATCTAATTAATTATGTTTTAACCACACTATCTGATTATTATCAGTTAGATTATTGAAATACACCATATGTTATGTGAAGCATATAAAGTTCCGAACCCTCCTATTCTGACTTCAATTGTTCGGTTCCACTGAAGGTGACCTTCAGTTCATTCATGCTTACCCCTGCTACACATGTGCAACTTCTTGCTAGCTAGTGACCGGACTCCGGTGCTCATAGCTGGTTATTTCGGGTCTCATTTTATTGGAAGCCTTTCGGTCTTCAGAAGCACTTAACATTGCTAACGCTCACATTTTATAAGAATTTCAAGGCTAAATATCTAATGTCCAGAATTCTTTTCTAGCATCTAACAGTCACCATTACCTGCAAATGAACCTAGACTACCTAGCAACCATGCAAGATCAGATACATAAAGCATTTATGTAATTACAGTGCGCTTAATTTCTAAGCTTGCGCGTCATACCAGTTCCCTTTTCCTCCATTTATACTGGTCAATGGGAAGGTTAATCGACACGAGTTCAGATCACAGCCGACCGACTTAAAAACATATAACAGTAAGCATCATAAATGCGTGATGTGGTTTTGCAGATTATTGCTCTAACAGTAATTAAATTACATTTGCACATCAGCGGCTAACTAATGAACTGACCTCAACATTAGCTGGAGCTGTCAACCTCAGAGAGACACCACTGGGAATAAAAACCATTAATAAAAATCATACCTTGACAATGGGCTAGAATGGGCGACATAATGCATGAAACCGACACATACCACAGGGATCCTTAGGAGATTCTTTCTCGCTTTCTCTGCTGTCCGGACTCTCTCCTTCGTCTGGCAAATTCATCTTTTTAGTGTTGGGCACAGTCGCCGGGATGTCTTCCGTCTTACTGACCATGATTCTCTCAGTCGGAGGTTAGCTATGGAGCTACAGTGCTTCAGACCCAGGTAAGTCGCTCTGTGCGGTAACGTGATTTTACGGAGTCGCCTTCTTGCACCGGCTTGCTAGCTACATGAAGAGGGTACGATCTTACAAAAACAACTTCCCAGGAAGGACAGACCTGGACTTAACAGACACACGTGGTTTATCCTCCTCTTGACCCCTTTGCCTTTGGCGTCTACCACCCCCAAAACCCGTCTTAGTACGGAAAACCTCTAGTGCCATTTTCAGAAAACGCGTTTTCTCCGTTACGTTTCACCTATTTCTGCAATACTATGCAAAAACGTTATACATTTGTTTGCTCATTATTTTCGCCATTATTCAGTGCATCAACTGTAATTATTAAAAATGTAGTTAAATATCGAATGGCAAAGTCGGCTGAATAATTATACTAACAAACTGCTAATTGCTAGCATATTGCCATAGATCCGTTTATTTAATTTATTTGTGCTTGTCCAATCGATCCGTCCGTGCATAAAAAGTTAAATGTTGTAAAGTGTGCTGTTAGAAAATTTCGTACACTGCACATGCATACACACATTCACTCACCCAAGACTTTAATGGATGAAAACTTTTAAAGTCTTTCCACCACGCCAAGTGAATCTACGGGGATTCTGCAAATACCCCAAGATGTAAAGAATGAACACCACTCGTTGGAGAAGCTTTAGTCAACTCAGTTTTATTAAAATAAGTATACAGTTGTAAGCTCTCTGTTAAGCAACCACAGTATGTGCGGTTAAGACAGAAATTAGAGGAATCTCAGCCAAAGATGCACCGCTGCATTTGAGTTTCCAGAGGTCGCAACTTGAAGCTGTTTTCAACATACCTCGTATGCAAGAAGAGATGCTATGTGTTATTGCTAGAAAAGGCATAAAGAAATTAAACACTGTGTCCACAGTTACAGTCCTTTAGATACGCAGTGATGTTGCGTTTGGTTCAGCCTCTTTTTAAGAGTAAAAAAATTGTTCACCATTAAATTAAAGTGTGCATTTTTATGACAGAGATGGCGGTGTTCTGTGGAATAAAAATGTTTGTTTTTAATTTGTTTCTTGATATTTATAGAAATAACAAAATTTACAAGATAATGTGAAACATTTGGTACTTCGTACACCTAACATTACATTAACTAAACAAAGAGCTATCAAATTTAATGATAATCACACAATGCGTTTTAACAATGCTTACTTAATATTGAAATTGTTGTGTGAAAGCGTGCTTTTAATCACTGAAAATAATGGTCATTATTTACGATGTCATCGCTCCTAATTAGGCGTTTTCATTAACTGTACGAGATTCACTTTTGGTTGAGTAAATTTGGTACAAAAATGAAGTTTAGGTCCTGAAATACAATCTAATGGAACGGCGAACACTTTCAGTATCGTCACAGAACAATGGACCAGAAAGGTGATGGCGATTGTTACATAGCGTGGCTCTAACTGGACAGAATACAGAAGAGGTCAAGCGCCTATAGTAATAATACAATTATGGGCCAAGCACCGTCGGTGGGAGCCACCAATCGTATTCCTTAGAATTTTTCACTGTTATTATACTTTCCATGCCAGCCCATACAATCGCTTGGTAGAATTTTCTTAAATTTGGCACATTTTGGACAGTCTAATGTATTCATTCACCAAATTTGGAGTCAACCCATCCATCCCTATAGCGCCACCATCAGGTCAAATTTCAAAGTACTTTTTTTTGTTTATAACTTTTGAACCGTCTGTCCTAGGTTTTAGATCGTTTTTTCCCCTGAATCCTTAGGTCATCCTGATTAGAATGCACCCATTGGTGTTAAAATTTGCCATATTGGATTTTACACCATCTTGAATGTTCCAAAATTAGGGCATTGATTGTCTTGCCACCAAATTTGGTAAGCATCTACAGAGGGTTCTGACCAAAAGTTGATTAAATCATGATAGTAAGAAAAAAATATGGGTGCAGTCATCAAACGAATTTGATTGGAGAGCCACCAAAGAGGTAGTGAGGGTTTATCTCAGCAACGATTTAATATCTCAAAAGTTTGGGAGCATGGGACTCTATTCTGACAAAACAAAACAAATATTGTGTCATTTGACCATTAGGGAGCGCTGCAACAAGCAAAAATGCGTTTTGGCTAATAACTGTTCAAAAGAATTTGTCGGCAAAGCTGTCTATCAGTATGTGTGACCATATCTAAGCAGTGTTTTGATGTTTTAAATCCAATCTTGGTATTTCTGCTCAAGGCCACCTCTTGAAGACGTGCACCAAATTTCGTGTCAGTCGGCCACTGGGGGCACTGCAATAAGCAAAAACGTGTTTTTCCTAATACGTTATGATGGATGAACCTTATAAAAGTGCCGGTTATGTTTGGTAATTGTCAGGATTGGACTCTGCCAGTCCCATCATGTCACCATTTCACCAGCAGGTGTCACTGGCCATCCCTATGCTCCTAATAATTTCCAGTTTAGTAGCTGTTACATACCCCTGTCTCCCATTTGTAGTTCATTACCTGTGTATATATATGTTCTAAATTCTCTTGATACTCGTGCCTTTTCTGCTTCTCTGCAAGCTTCAGTCTTCAGTGTTACTAATCTATCCTGTACGGAGATTCTCTCTATATATACCCAGGTTATGTCTCATGATCTCGATCTCAGGTCTGACCCCTTCTCCCATTGCTATTACTAGTTTTTTCCAGACCTTCGAGCTCCGAACACAACTGCTCAAGTTCTCACTCTCCCCCCCTCTGTAAACTTCACTGGCAGCCTGTCTCTCTCCATATAAACTCTTTCTGATTACTTTTAAGGTCACAAAGGATCTTGCTCCTCAGTATATCTCAGTGCTCCTCCTTCCTTATACACCTGCCCCTTCCCTCAGGTCTGCAGGTGCTGGTCTCCTAGTGGCGCCTCCCTTGCGCTCGTCTCCTATGGGTGGCAGGGCCTTCAGCTTTTTAGCTCCTAAAATTTGGAACTGGCTCCTACAAAGCTTCCTCCATCTCCCTTTTTTAAGCAGAATTTTAAAAACACATTTTACTCAGTCATTCCCTTCCCATACTTTTTCCTTATCTGTTGCTGTTGCAGTTTTTCCTGAATGTTTCATTCAGTATGTTAGCTTTTGGTATACAGTATGTTCTATGTTCATATGTTCTTGTATTTCCTCTTTCTAAATTCCCTTCCATGGTATTTTTGACCTGCTCGGGTCCCTGGCCCCATTATTGCTACTTGCAGCTGTATTCAGTAATGTTTTCGTTCTTGCTCACACAGTAACTGTATGCAGTTTGCGCTTAACCTCAAATATGTTTAAAGTTTCAACAGCTTTGGTCAGAATATGTGGGTTCGGCTGTCATGCAGGCTAATCAGTCAGATTTGGATCTACAGGCACAGCTTACAGTCTCGCGCTTCCCGTACTAAGGCGGTGAGCCGATCGTCAACAGCTGTGCAGCTCTGCTTCCTAACAGCCGGTAAATGATAACAACTGAAATCACCACAATGTAGTTAATAAGCCTTAATATATGCATAACGACTGAACATTCCCTGGTAATTCATTACATAAAAGTGCACTTTTCCATCCTACTGAAAACTGTGTATAAAACGACATAATCTCAAATGTTCCTCCATCGTCGGGAAGCAGGGGCAGAACCTCTTCGGTAGCTCATCGCTTGAAAGTCGTTGCTGCCTTTGACTTTTAAAAACATAGTCGAGCTGTGATCTGTGCAACGTACAGGGAGGCAGTGGGCAAGGGGACTTCTGGAGTGTGACGATGCCGACTGTCATCCATTGCGTTACACCGCGGTGACAGGTTGGAGAAATCAGAGGTCTGGCATTCTGAGGTTGAACAAGACATGGGCGAGTTTTGGGAACATGCAGCGCGGAGTATAGGACAGGAGGAGGTTTTCCTCACAAGCAGCACTCCGAGGCTGCTGACAGAGCAGCATAACGGGAATTAAAGAAAGGGGGAGATACAGCAAAGCGGGTCCTCTGAACCACAAGTACCATCCAGTGTATCTGGCACGGCACACACTGGGCCGAGAGCATCTGTCAGACATTCCCTCCCTTCCGATGTCTTTTCTTTTCATTCGGAGCAACGACACATGATGGAAGCTTCCAGAAACATCAGTTATCAAGAGTTATTTCATGTTTATCAGCTGAAACTTGCAATGGCGCAGAAAGTGTTACACAATAATATTAAAAAGTCGGGAGAGATGGATGATGACATATTCAGGCACATGGCGTGACACCTTAACATCGAGGTCTGATGAGGTCCTGCTCGCCATCTTGGCTGTTACCCTGCAGCAGACGGTTTTTACTTCACCACAAGATGGACATTGTCCTACTGAAAATGAAGGTGTGGTCACCATTTCAGACAGGTCTGCACCTATCCTTGGATTTCCCAAATTATACATCCCGTAAAAATTACTTTCATTTAATTAAATAAAATATGCACTGCATATAAGAGTCCTTGCTATTATCTATGATACAATGCTCTAAATAGTTTTTAAAAAGCTTTCCTATAATATTGATTAGACTTAATATGTCAAACTACATTAATTCACCCATTAATGATACAAGTTCTGAAATTCTACAGCAAAACCTCTTAACATCAAACACCTAAAATACCCGCAGTTTGAAAACTAGCAGCCCTATAATCTACTGGGGTGCAGCTGCTACACCAGATGTGTCCACTGGGTGGCATCTTGAATCAGTTGCCAATCATTGTGCCAGGCAGGTTACACACACATTCACATGGGAGTATGGCTCTGCAGTGCTGGCTGCTGCAGTGAAGACCTCAGCTTTTCACAAATGAACTGAGTGTGAGTTCTGTAAGCAGACGTGGCATCCCCTGTGTAACCAAAATCAGGCTGGACCCATGTTCTGCAATGGACCGGCATCCCATCTAGGGTGTACCCTGCCGCATGCCCTGTGATAGACTGGCATTCCATCTAGGGTGTACCCTGCTGCATGCCCTGTGCTTCCGGGGTTAGGTTCGGGGTTAGGCTCGGGGTTGGCCTTAATCTAAAGGTGGTGAGCATTTACTGAAGATGGATGGATGGATGGATCTGGGTCCCTTGTGTATCATATCTAGCTAACCCACTAGCTAGCTAAACAAGTTATAGAGTTTTATTTTTTTGTGTGAAATTCCCTCCCCAATAAAATTATGTTGAATACTACTACAACTTTATGGTGAAGTTAATTTCAGATATAACAGATTACTGTTCCACATTTTCAATCTTATGACGAGCTCCCATAATTAAGTGCATATATACCGTACACCCAGGTAAGCAGGATTTTTGCATCCTCTTACCTGCCTCTCTGCCTGTCCTCTGAATATGGCTAACAGGAAATGCACACAGCCCCTGGCCCACAGACTGCAAGTGCCGTCATCAAGAGATGTTGGATTTCCATCACTGCTCAGGAAAATTAGGAGCTGTCCAAAGAACCCAAACGTAAAGGTTAAGAGAGACGCAAACGGGTGTCTGGGGGTGGGGCCATACATTTAGCTATTAAAAAATAATGAAAATCGAAGCTAGTGCTGTGAAACTCCCGTTGGTCATGCTCATTTTCCATCCCAAGTTTTGACGTTTGAGTGACAAGCTTAGGGAAGCTAGCCAGGACAGATTCACAAATGCGACGGCGATGACAGCGGTGACGGCGTTACGGGGACGGGCACAGTCACGGTACAGCTACTCGGCCTCCGTTTCCGTGGCAGTGGAGGACGCCGTGGCCGAGGGGCCCGTCACCTGATCCTCCAGGTCCTCCGGCTGCTCGGCCCCCTGCTTCTCCCTGCGCTGTCTGTGTCCCTGGCGTGACCTGTGCCGGCGGGGGTGAAGGAAGAGCGCGGGATCCGGCATGGCCGTGGGCTCCGCCGGGCCCGTCACCCTCTCACGGGGCACGCACTCCCGTGCCCGCTCCGCCCGCACTTGTGCGGGCAGCCTGTGGCGCCGTTTGGGTCTGGTGCTGGTGGAGGGAGATGGAGAAGCTGGGGCAGGCCTTTCAGCTGCCCGTGGGTGTAGCTTCAGCTGCTGCTGGTGCAGACTTTGCCGGGCGGCGTGTAACTGGAAGGACAGGTAGGCCGCCACCTCTGTCTGCTTCTGCAGCTCCGCCCCGAGGGCCGTGCTCCGGTGGCTGCGGCGCTTCAGCTCCTCCAGGAAGCTCCGCTCCTTCTCCTTCAGGCTGGCCCGCAGCGCACCCACCAGCGCCCCCTTGTGGCTCAGCTCTGTGCGCAGCTCGTCCAGAGTGCGCTGCTGCTCGCCGAGCCGGCCCTCCACCTCCCGACACCGGGCCTCCAGCTGCTCCTCCTCCTCCTGGATCTCTGAGGGACACACGTGAAAGAGAAGCCAACTGAGGGAAAGGCCTGTCTGCATATTTCACACACACACAACAAAAGAAGCAGACACCTGAACCTGGAGAGAGCGCATCTCCCCAGTAAGGTGACAGACAGGCTGCCTGCCCAGCCTCAGAGGGAGCCAGCAGACAGATAGCATACGGAGGTCAGTTAGAAAGCTCCACCTCCATGAAGGACCCAGTGCTTGATCGCCAAATCCACGGGGCACCGCTAACAGGAAGTGCCATCTGCCGCCCTGCAGCTTAGGGCCGCCCTGCAGCTTAGGGCTTGGGGAGCTCTGCATGATTGTAATTTCACCAATATGTAACCTCTGGTTTCCTGACTCCATTCTGGTGTCGCCAGTTCAGGATTACGATCAGCAATCTGCCGAGATCCCCCCCCACCCCCCGAGCAAACAGCTCCCAGTGGCTGCAGTCTGAAAGCGATATAGCACTGAGTGCTCCTGCCTCCCTCTCTCAGGGGGGCCATTACTCCGGCTCCTCCTGGACCAGATCGCCCCCCCCCCCATGCCCAGTCTCAGCCGGTCTGTCGCCCACCTTCCCCCCCGATGAGGTCATGCAGCTAAAATAGAAACTGCTGTGTAATTTGACCTTCCTGCTTGCCTATCCCTCTCTCTCAGATGATGTCAAGCCTGTCTGTAGCAGCCCAGCCCCCACCCCTTCATCTCTGGCATGTAACGGCCCCCCACTTACTCACCCAGGGCCCACACCCTCACAGTGAATGGGGGGGGGGGCACGGTGGATCGATAGTCAACATAACAGTGGACGGATGGGGAGGGTTGGTTACCTGAGCCACTGAGGACTGGGTCACATGGTCAGCCCTAAACAGCCCTTCAGACACAGGTCCCACCCCCTGGCCCGGCCGGCTCTCTGTTCATGTGGGGCACAGTGCTACCTCATTTCACTGAGCCGTGGTACCAAGCTGTGATACTGCCGCTCATTCAATTGGGCCGTGATGGACCTTCCGGCAGGGGTAAGTGGTTATTATGGATGGATGGATAGTTCCTAATAACTCTAAAAACGTAACAGCTGTGTTGCACTTGGGCTTCAGAAGATGAAGCTCACTCCTCAGTTCCATCTCGAGCTTCCTGATGACCATGGCCCCGCCGTCCACACGTGGACGGAGAATCTGCCTCAAAGTGCCAAGGTGCCCCTTTCACCACCACATTCAAACCAACATACCTATGAGCTCATCCACTCGCGAAGCTGAACAGTCAGGATTTAGCGGCCTGAATCACTCTGCCCCATCCTATGCCTTTATCCGCATCCTCTGCTTAACTTCTGCTCTGGAGGCTCCAAGCCCAGCGCTTGGCCAAGCCGGTACCGTTAGCCGCTAACGGAGTCCACGGACGGCCATGTGCAAACATCCACAGTGCTGCTATTCTCTATTTCAGCCATTCTCACTATCCTGGTGTCGCTCCCATTTTTACAGGATCTCCGTTATTTATACTGGGTCAGAATTATGGCTGCACAATGACACATGGTGATTATATGGTACCTGCACAACAATCACCAGGCTTCAGATGACGGGCGAAACATTTGTCAGGATGCCAGCTTTTCGGTACTATACAGACGTTTACGTTTACGGCCACAATTTGGTAACCAGATTAGTACTGTGCCTAAAATATTAGTAATTCGTATAAATTCGTTTAAAAAACGTGTCAAACTTTAAACTGTAAGAAGTACCACCACACCACCGACGTATTTTTTACCTTGTTTAACCACAACATCTCCTCTTTCAAAAGATGTGGTTGCTGAGCTGTCCTTTCCTACACCGCAACTTCTCGCTTATCGCTTCCATGGTATACCAAAACGGTCGCATGCGGCACGCTCCGCTAACCGAATTTATTAAGCATAAGGATATGCCGAATTTATGCAGATTGCTAACTTTTGGGCGTCACAATGCACCTCTACCACATTAATCTACTTACCAAATTGTGGGTGTAAGTAAATGTCCACGTAGTACCAAAAAGTCTGTGTCCGGACAAATGTTTACACCCGTCATCTAAAGCCCTGGTGTATATCATGCAGGCGCCATATAATCGCAATGTGACATTATGCAGCCCTGGTCTGAATTAAATGCCTGGGGTCTCTTTCCCTCTCCTTAGATCCACACAATCTTGCCGGAGGGTTTCCTGTGCTCGCTGGCTCTCACACCCACTGAGGTCTGAAATAATTAGGTACATCTGAACGGTTCCTTACATTCCAACCACAACATGATCAGCTAAAAGTGGAAAAACCAACAGATAACCTAGTAGGAGAGGAGAGGAGAGAAATGGGAGAAAGGTATTCTGGGTAAATGAAGTCTAGACAGAGGTTTTGGGTGGAGGTGGTGGGTGCAGATCTGCTACAGGTGAAACTGTGGGCCCCCAGGAGAGAGAAGAGGAGAAGGTGACATATCCAGGTGCCTCACCTGCTTGGGTCCTTCCTGGAGGCTTCACGTTCAGCTCCCGGGTCAGTTCTGCAGAATGAAGCCAGATGAGAGAGTTCACTGTGTGGCCATGAAAAGCTTGGTGCCTTAACTCTTTACCCCATGATTGCCCTCATCCTCACCATTAACTGGCTGCTGAAAGCCAGAGGTGCATAGTTCAGGTCCAGAAAGTACAAATCCAGACCAAGATTCTGTTTCAACCAACCACTTGAGTAGGCTGTGTCTGTGATTCTTTAAATTCAATTGGTTGGTCGAAACAAAATCTTGGTCTGGACTTTTACTTTCTGGACCTGAACTATCCACCTTGGCTGAAATCATCCAGCCAGTCTCTCAGTGTCCGTCTTCTGTCGTCCTTTGGGTTCTCACATTGCTTTTAGCCTCAATTTTATTCCTTCTGTGGTTTCTGTATTACTTTCACCTGCATATGCGTGTCTTCTATTTTACTTAAGTATAAGTCATTTTTACTGGATATAAAACCTGGGAATTCCTAGGATAGGTGCAGACCTGTCTGAAATGGTGACCACACCTTCATTTTCAGTAGGACAATGTCCATCTTGTGGTGAAGTAAAAACCTTCTGCTGCAG